GTTTTTTTTTTAAACATGGCGGGAAGACGTTCTTTCATACAAGTGAGCATAGATTGCGTGTGAGTCGAGAGCGCAAGAAATAATAGACAAAACTTTTTTTTTGGAGGGGTTAACATGGCACCCATCTCAGGAGGAAATAAGCTACGAGGATTCACTCCTCAGCCCCAAAAACCCCCTATCGTATATTAATTGACAGACATACACATATGAAAAAAGAACAAACGCAAAATCCTATACATCTGTTTGGAATCAATGTAAATATATGAATATCACAAATTTAAAGAAACAAAGCAAAATCTGAATTAAAGTAACTAGATGCAAATAGACAAGTTATTACGGGCGTGTGGCGTCAGATTTTAAAGTTACGGCAGTTAACAGGAGCACAACAAAAGTACCTCTGGGCGTGCAAGCACAAGCGGAGTTTGGGGCTACCGGTCTGGGGCTGTTCTCCCCCCCACGACGGTCTATCTATCGCAAAGCCTACCCGCACGCACACGTCCATTACGAACATGCTGTGCGAAAATAGGCCATTACGATCGCAGATCCGCAGTTAGATCTAGACTATTGGGCTAAGTCGAGAGCACTACAACATCGGCGGCCGCCCCTGAATCTATCCAAACCTGTGGACCTGTACAGGTGACACGATAAATCTCGCCAGCTCGACTAGGTTCGCTTCTGCCGTGTTTTCTGTGTTATTTAACTTCAATTCCATTTTTTTTGTTCAATTTCTTATAACTCTGATATTAACAACAACTGAACAAGTGTTACGGTTTCAAAAGAGCAATAAACAACATTTAAATTCGCCATACAATCTTGTGAAATTTTAAACAACAAATAATTCTTATGTAAGGTTAAAATTGGACATCAGATAATTTATACGGTGGAAACATCCATCAACAAAATATTTACAAAACAAAACTAGCAGAGATTTATAAAACAAAAGATCTGGTGTGAAATAAACTTGTGCAAATAACAATATTATGTGAGGTTAAACTGCAAAACATGGAAATTTACGTTCAATGAAAATTATACAACAAAGAAAATTACTGAAGTTAAAACTGTGAGATTGAGAAATATTGTAAGTTAAGAAAATTTACATGAGCTTAATATTTGCCACACTTTATCAACGATTCAAACAAAGAGTTTACATTATGTCAAATTATGTCATAATCCAAGTGATTAGTTACTTAAAAAAAACAATTTACTTTGAGAGTTTAGCATACCGCGAACTGGTTACCCCAACAAAACACATAATAAACAGACACAAAAATATCCAATCATCGTTGCGAGGGAAAAAGCGTCTCGGTGGTATACATTTTATAGTTGCGAGAAATTTCCTCCATGATGTATTTTTTAGCGATGGGAGGAATAAGCCTCGTTGATGTTATCAATCTCTAGCGTTGCGAGGACAAGCCTCGATGAAGTAATCAATCTTTAACGTGGTGAGGACATGCCCCAGTGATGTGATCATGATAACGACGATAATAACGATGATAACCGCCTAAGAGAAGAAATTATTTTAATCCCCCGCCAGTTCGCAGTATAATGAATTTTGTTTAACTGCCGTAAATGAACTATTAGCAATCTTGTGTGAAGAATTAAGAAGTGTTATAATGTAACACTTACGTATATGCATCCAGAAACCTATTCCTAATTAAACAACAAAGGTATTTTCCTGACTAAGTGAATTTCATGAAATCTTCTAGCAAGTGGTTTATTTAAATAATCCTGATTGTTAAATTGTTTTTGCACTAGCTGAGGATTAAGAAAACTAACTTGATTGGTGAATTTACGAACAATAAAACAAATTTACAGCACGTGTTTCGCGTTGAAAGATCGCATGTTTTTTTTTTTATTAAAAGCCGACTGAGCGACGTCGGTTACGATTGATTGCCGTTAAACAAAGGCCTGCTCCCTTTTATTAACTACCACACCAACTAATTTAAACTAGCTCTTACCATGTGTTTACACCTTAGATCATATAATAAATAGATACCAATACTCAAACTGAAAGCTGTGACTAGACATGAAGCTATCTGTTGTCGTTTTCTACGTCAAGGGGAGTAGTATAATGCTATCCTTGTGTGATCACCACATCTTCATCTTTGTTATATGCATTTCATCTGTATATGTCTATTTCACTTCCATCCTTGTACCGCACCAGCGCAACAAATCGCTTTTGACAGATGTTTCTTCTAACCTCTCTTTCGAGTTGTTGTACAAACAACAATTTTAGAATTTAGAACAAAGATCCTATTTTAAGTGATGTAGTCATAAAGGATCACAATTGCTGCCCAATAATTTACTATTCCTTTCGTTATCTACTGTGAATTGTTTATAAAATCAAGCTGTCAACATCTTTCTTCCGAAGTTAGTTCAGACATACTTCCTAAAATTTAGGCGCGCAAAATTCAAATAGTGATCAGGCAAGGATAGCTTCATTGTAATTCCTCCATGCACGAGAGAGATGTGTGACAGGAGGATGTCGTCACAGGCTGTCCTAGGGAAAGAACACGGCATGGTGGTATCTATTTATTATATGATCTAAGGTTTACACTCACAAAAACACATTCAGACTAACGCGCCGCCATGCTGCTTCCGTCTAACCACCAACCCTCTAACTAAAATCCCCTAGTGCTACTAATTGTCCGACTACCCTGCAAGCTTTACCGTGCATATTTGGTTGCCTATGTTTAACGATTTCTTTTTTTTTGTGATTGATTTTTTTTTCAAATTCAAATTATTCAAATGTGATTTCGCGCCGCTGTTAATTAATTCCAGCGCGAAAATTTTGATTTAAATTCGATCACCACAACACCTTTAAATGAAGAGGTGCATTTAATAGTGCCCTTCTTCATGTCACTAATGGGAACGTCCAATGAGCAGTCCATAATTACACATCCCAGTGATGATCTTTCCATTTACAATTTTTTGACGATTTTTATGATATGGATTCTTGTTGCATTAATATGTGAGTTTATTTTTCTTTTAAATATTTGAATAAATTAAGGGGAATTACCATTATTATGATCGATTCAAATGTCTTCTGTTTAATAAAAAAAGAGAAGTATTGAGTTTCCCGATACAATGTTTATTTCTTTAGATTTTGATTTTTTTCAGTACCACTGCTAAAGGTGCACAATTTTTATAAGATTTATGTAATTTGTTTGTTGACATCTTAGTAATGTTCTTTGTATAATTGGTTGCATACACTAGAATTTAAAATAATAGCTACATATAAGCTAAAACCAGAGACTTTATAAAAGTGCCTTTACACTGCATGATTTGTCATATGACTTCTCATATGACTTCTCCTAGTGCAGCTTTTTTCGTGTTTACACTGTATGATTTCTCATATTACTTGACCCATAACACAAATCATAAGAGCGGTCATAAGCAAATCATAGCAGATTTCCAGAATAGGACGGGGTCTATTTTGAAGAGAGTTCTCGTACGATAATTTTAAATTTCGCGCGTTTTTCAAGAAATTAAAATAAATTGGCAGTTGAAAGTGAGGTTATTATAGATCGACCGAGCCTCTGATCCTAGCCCGTGAAACTGTTTATTTTACTCGAGATCTTTATTACGTCTCGATTACTTTCTTTTTAATAACCCCACAATCAAGCACAGTAAACCACTTTGATATTTTGCCACTTGTTCACTATTCATTGTATAAAATTTTCACTACTACACACAATTCTTAAATTTAATGTGAGGCTAATACAAAAAATATCCAAAGTCAAGCAAACGTGTTTCGCTTCCCCCAAATGTTAGGTTAGGTTAGAGTCGCTTGACAGTGACACTTTGCTCTCACCCCACCACGCTTCAAGTCGAACGAAAAAATCATATGAGAAAGCACAGCAGTCTAAACTCAAAATCTGCAAATGGTATGATTCCTTGAAATCATACAATTTATCATACGATTTGTATTAGCAAAAGTCATATGACAAATCATGCAGTGTAAAGGCACTTTAATACATAGACTGGCTGTGTCAGGAAAAACGTGAAGTTTTTCGACCGCCATATTGCTTATAACCGTAAGTGCGCGAAATTTGAATTTTCCGGTCACAAAATGCAATTTAAAATGTTAAATAGAAAAGACAACAAATTGTAATTATTTATTTAGCATAATAATATCTATATGTATATGTAAATACCTTTAAAAATATTAATGTCCTTGAAACAAAATTAATTTCGTGAATTTTTGTCTTAAAAGAGATAGCTTTTTCACGCTCAGTACTTAAGCGGCACTCATAACCTATTCCGAGAGTCAAATAATTTCTCAAAATTAATTTAAGCAATAAATCAAAATAAGAATTATTTACGTTCAACTAATCCATACTAAACAATGTTCATTATGTAGAAAAGAATGTATGGTCCTACTTTGCAAAGTTAAGGCAAACATTTTAGTTACCAAATCATTTTTAATGGCCATATTTACAAACAATCTCGTAAGTCCCGACACACAACCACTTTTATTTCGAGGTCTAGAAACGTTCTGTGCTAGAAACTACTGCTGCTAACCACCACAACCTCACTTAATTTGACATAAAAGTTATAGCAATGGCGTCCATACTACCATGCGCCGTGGCTTCACCAAAATGCATTAGAAATGTTACTAACAGCCAGTCTATGTATTTAAAGTCTCTGGCTAAAACACATAATAATGTGTTTTAGCGTCATTGATTTTAGTTACCTTCAGGTATAAAAACAGATCATATTTTAGCTCAATATCCAAGTTATAGCTTCACCTTCCTGATGAAGGTACGGCATATCGAAACACGTGTAGCAGACATTTTTCTAAATTTTACCTGAACTGGTTTCACGTAATAATATGTTTATTTTAATACAAAGGTATATGTTAAAATGATTTCTCTCAGACTTAAAAGTTATTCGTGTCAAACAAGGCCTATTAAGTATGATATTTGCATTGACGCTCAGATTTCTTGTTAAAAACTAAATAAAGTTAAGTAGAACTACATAAATAAGAAATAAGTAAATAATTTTGATACTATTATTTTATTGTTCTTTCAGTATATTTATAAAGTATTGGTAATACTAAAGTGTATAATTAGTTGCATATACATTCATCAACTATGTCACTGGTATAATATCATTACTATTATAGATATAGTTTTAAAATAAAGACATTAATCTTTATTCTTCCCTGTTCTTGAAATCCCGAGAAAAGTGGGGTCCATTCGAATATGGAAATAGTGGAATTCTGCGAGGGTAGCAATAGCAATACTGATTTCTTAAACCGTCGCCTCCACCATAGTTTGGGTATGATTCGGCAAAATATTCATTTGTTCCCCGCACAAAATAGGGTCCTGCAGTAGAAACTAAAATTACAGCAACTATATTCCAACTATAAGTAACTTACCTGTTTCTTGTTCACTGTTTGAGTGTTTAAGTTTTCCAGATATCTAAAACAAGAAAATCGTCACAAATATTTTGAAAATTCCAATACATATACTTTACTTACTGTTGCATCCGCCTGACTCCCAGTGACGAAAACAACAACCAGAAGAGTTATTATTGTGATCACCTGTTTTTAAATTTGAATAATTTGTATTTAAAATAGATAACATAAATCTGACTTACCTTCATAATGCCAATGATCTCCAAATTCAAAACTAAACGTTTATGTTGTTGCTTTTCACTTAATACTGTTTTTGTACACTTTCTCTTCCTTTTATACAAATACCATAATGAAAATTACGGCCCTATCTATGCAAAAGGACAATGATTCAAGTTTAGGCAACCAGAAACAAAGACTTTTTTATCATCGTTTATGACGCATAACCTTTATACAATGAGTCAGTAAATACAGTACCATAACAACAAAACTACCTAACTTAAATATGGTATAATATTGCAATGATAATAAAACAAACCATGTTAATTAAAATTTCCTAGCATTACGTTTCCCAGCCCCTGCATTCATACCACCGTCCGCCTCCTTTGGTTCTTCAGATTCATTTTCAGGTTGTCCTTCGGAGGATTTTTCAGCATCGCCAGATCCACCGGCTTGTTGCAGCAGGGTGCGACATTCATTCGCCTTATCTGCCGAAGATGAATCTCCCGATTCCGATCCTTCAGTCTCACTTTCAGGAGATTGTGCTTGTTGTTGTTGACGATTGTCAGTTTTACCTTGAAGACTACTCCCTCGGAAGTTACGGGCAGGAACTGCCATAGCTACAGCTACCACCAGCACGGCAAAAATCTGCAAAATTTTAGTTAACACAAAATTTAAATTTTCAAAAAACTTACAACAAAATGGCGCATTTTTGATGTGGTGTGGAACTTGCAACTGTTAATTTGGTTGTCGTTTGTGTCAACCAGATGGGTTTTATATATCCCAGCATTTGGTACCCTTTATGGTTGATTGGCCCAACCTTTGGTGATGAGCGTGGTAAATTTTGAAACATAATGGACCAAAACCATGAATGAACATGAAGGACGGTCATCGAAGAGAAAACAAACGTGTTTTACGTGTTAGGAGGCAAGTGAGGGAAGTATTGTAACAGAATGATTTTGAGAAATGCCTCATTTTGTGTTTCTTAGAATTTCAAAAATTGTACAACTCAAAATGTAGGTTTTTCCCTTTCCATTATTCTAAAAGAATTACTAATTAGTCTAATTAGTTTACAATTTTTCTCAGACATTTAATAATAAATTTCTGAGTGAGATATTAATGTTTTTTCTAGATTTCAGTAAGTTGTTAAAAGTGTTCATACTTCCACAATTTTGACGATGTCGTCAAAAAAGGTTCAGTACAACTTTAACTAAGACAATTAAGGCTCCGCCACACAGTCATTAAAAGATGCCAAAATAAGGCAAAACGCCAACCCATTTTGCGCCTTTATTTTAACAGTTGAAGAGCAGGGCGGTACATGTGCGTGTTCATGACATAAAAATCTTTAAGGAAGCGCCTTGTATTTTTTAAAAAACGTAGCAGTTTTTAAAATAAAAAATAAAGTGCGTAAAACCCCAGCGGATTTTTAGCGAAAACTATAACTCGGTGTGCTTTTAAAAAATATCGAGGTGATAGAGAATTTTTTTCTACTTTAGGCGCCATTCTTCGTTTTCTGTTAAAATTTTAGTTCTTTTAGTTATTGTAAAAAAACTGCAAAGCATTTTGGGCAAATTTTAGTAAGTTAGGCAACCCAAAATATTAGCTGAGGCGGTAAGCTGTAATTTATGGCCCACACAATAGAGCACCTTTTAAATACCTTAAGCTTATTTGACCACCCTTTGAAGTACCTGACAATAGCATTAAGTTTTAGTTATATGCACTGGACCCTGTTATACCTGATACATACCTATAGTTGTGGTTCGGGTTCAAATTAGGTAATTGTAATAACTGGATTTATTGAACAATAAATTAATGATTTTATTTTTAATAGCTCTTTAATATTTTTACTGCAAGCCGCATATGAACATTTAATCTCTGCAATTGAATTAGAATTTATTAACCCATCTGGAGAAGCTCCTAAAAATTTTTTTCAAATTTATTAGAGCTTCAAATTTTTCTTTGGCCTTTTCTTCATTGTCAATACCAAATTGTATAGACTTTTTTCATAAAGTTTTATCGGAATACACAATACTTTTAACGGTATTTGCGGTGTTAATTCCGTCTCTCATTTTGTCCTTTCTTTACTCCATTCCCTACACATTCGCTGACCACAAGTACCTTTTTCAATAGCGTTTACGTTACTCTGTGACAGCTTTATTAATAAATCCGATTTTTTTCTTTCATACACTTCAGGTAATATATCTGCAGTTTTCGTTTGTTCATCGTTGACGATATTATTTTTACCGGAATCCAGAGTTCGGCTACGCAATTTTTTAATAGAGGTTTTAGTTTTATTAATCGTTTTTATTTTTTTCAATTTTTGTTCCACAAACGCCTCCGTATACTAACATTGGTCTCCCCAATTTTTTTTTTTTTTTTTAATAACGTAATTAGGAACGTACCCTTATTATTATAACTTATTGCCGCAGCAAAGCATCACCCTTGATAGGATCCTCGTGCAGAAAAACTTAAAAACTTGATCTTTTTCCTCCCACAAATTTATTAACGACAGAATTGTAGCATTCCACAGCATTGTTCTCAATATCAAAAAGTAAACTAGACGACAAAGTTGCAATTCTATTTAAAACTTGTTTGTAAGGTTCGTATAAAACACCATTTGCGAAAGTAGAAAATAAAATATCATTTGACTGTCCACTTTTATAACAAAAATAACTTGCACATTGTTCGTGATTGCCAAATATATGCTGGAAAAGAAGGAAGAGGCTCATTTTTGCTAAATTTAATAGCACTTATAATAGCTGTTCTAAATTTTAGAATACTATTTTTAAAAACATTTTTAATAGTGATATCTGCTTTCGTTGTTTTAATTATTTCTCTAATTTTGGAACAATAATTACGAAGTATGTGATTTCTACATTCAATTTTTTCTATAAAATAATATGGTTTTGCAGCCCGAACTTTTTTTAATACGCTACTATCCTCGTCGCCTATAATTCTCCTATAAAGTATCTAAAGTAAATCCCTCTAAGATAATTGAAACTTCCATGGACATAGATGTTTGCTCCTAGTTTTTAAAACAGTTATCTGTTGGAATTTCTTTTTTCTGTTTCATATAGATTTTACAGAAACTACAAAGTTTGTTTTTGACTCCTACATAAAGTATTTTTTTAGTTCTGGCACCAATTATACGTCCTACCCCAGACAGTGCATTGTAACGGTAGTATATGGGACGCAATCATTATCTACCTCCCTCGCCTTCACAGCTAATCGGTACTTTTCTTTACCTGCGTTTTGGTTTGTTCTTCGAAAAGTGCTTCGATGCTCTTTAGAACTCTAGCCTCGGCTTTACGATATGTCGGCTGGGGTATTTGAGGGATATCTAGAGCTGAACAAAATTCTGAAATTTGAGAATAACCTACGACCGTTGATCTAGCTCCACAAATAGCTGCATAATTGACTTTGTATATAGTTATGATTTTCAGGTTCAGTACAAAGATTACCGAATATTCCGTACATATGAAATATGTAGTAGAAAACAATTTTTAAACGATAACAATTTTCATGAGTTATTTCAATATTATCTAAAGTACTGATTGATTTCAGTGTTGTTAATAAGTGGCCTATGTCAACAATTCTACGTCCAGTACTAATTTCTCGACGTGTCATGACCTCTAGAGTACGAAAAAAGTGGTCTCCCGTTTCCGTATGTCCGTCTGTCTGTCTGTCTGTCTGTCTGTCTGTCTGTCTATCTGTCTGTCTGGTGTCTGTATCCATTTTTTATTAGACAAGTGTTCTCCGAAACTACTGGATCGATTATTGCCATATTTTATATGTATATTAGAAATATCTTGTAGATGGTTAAACGCTAACTAAAATTTGGCAAATCATCTCCACCACCAATGGGATGACGTCATCTCCAAAATTTATAATACAAAGTTTTTTAAATTTGATAAAATTAGATACTCCTGCACTTGTGGTGTGTAAATCCGTGCAGAATTTTCACCCTAGACATCTAGAATTTTTGGAAAAAATTTTAACTTATCCGGGTTCTCATAAAAAAAATAAAATTCGCACAATCAAATTTTATAATATTTCGAAAAAGCTAGGTTTGTTTTATTGTATTTCAGAGGCGAGAGAAGTTCTGTCGAAATAACCGTTTATGGTGATCAAAGTTAAATTGTCATTTTTCCAGAATTGTTCAGAAAAGTTTTACTTTTATCCGTTAAACTCAAATCAGATTTTATAAAAGGTAGAAAGGTATCTAATGGTAGAAAAATTTGTTACTTTCATTCTTGGAAAAAAAAAGTACGGCCAAATCTACCACCGCCATAAATTATTAGGTACTTTTGGTTATTAAAATTCAAACATAGATTGTTGAAAAATGTAATTATAATAACAATGGTTAATGAAATATTAAAGAGAAAATTGTGTTAAAAATAAAGCTTATGATTTATATTTCGTATATAACGTTTCTCCGGTTCTGTCAATTAAAAAATGCCTGTTCACTTTTATAAAAGTTGGCTGGTAGGACAGCCATAACTGTATCCTGTATGTAAAATCGGCAGGGTAACATACATATTACTTTACCGAAATGTCAATTGTCAACATTTGTCAAGGAATTGAAAAGATATTTCACTCAATTTATTAATCTTTACCGGTTTTATGTAAACTGTTTAATGTTTGACTGGCTGCAGTTTAAACATTTTCGGGCAATACGTCGCCTAAATCCATCATTTTTATAATTCTGTTCACAAATTTTTTTTGAATAAACAACAAAATGGTACCGAAATATATCATATAAACGTTAAAAAATCTTGAACACACCACGGATGTAAAGGGTGCCATAACCGCCTTAGCCGTCTTTCAAACGGATGGCTGCGGCGGTTGTGACACTCTTTACATCCTAGGCATGTTAATAGCTATTAATTAATAGACAGAAAGCGATAAATGACTTTTATAGTTTAATCAAAGACATGGCCAAATCTAATCTGAAAACTTTTTGATTACCCTTTATTTATCTAACTTTGTAATTCTGAAAAGAATTTATTTCATTGAAGTATTGGTTCACAAAGACATCCCGACATATAATCGGTGGGTCTTTATTGTGTTTTAGGGGCGCGGGAAGTTCTAAGTAAATACGTTTCGATTTTTTACAGTTTATTTAGAAACACATACAGAAATTAATAGCCATGGGTTTGGTATCCGCCACGGTGTGTTCCTGCTTGGCCGCCAATGTTACCATGATGAGCTCCAGTTCCTCCAGTTCCGGTGTGATGGGTTCCTGGGTATCCTCCAATTTGTCCACCACGGCCTGGATTTCCACTGGTGTGGAGATTTCCTCCATAGCCACCTTGACCATGCTGACCGTGTTGACCGTGTCCTTGCTGACCACCACCACCACCACCGTAGTGTTGGTTGGGGGCGGCGTAGATCGCCACTACCAGCACCAAGCAAAGGATCTGAGAAAAAACGAAAATGTTAGACTTGTGTTAGGAAAAACTTAAAATAAACTTACGAGAACTTTCATTTTTACAACGTTGTGTTTCTAACTTGAAGCAAACCGGTGACTATTGCTTCTTGCCCTTTTTCGATCCTTATATATTGAGTTGAAAGCTGATAAATGTAATTTTTATCATCACATTGCGAGAAAAGTTATTATTAAATAAATATTACCGAGAATGATATCATTTTGGAATAATTTTGACCTACAAACTAATCATTTTCCACTTGGCTTCTAAAGGGTCAATTTCATGTGTTTTTGTTGATAATTTTTGTATTTTTTCTATGTTTATAGGAGATAAACTACATATTTTAATTGTTGCGATATGTGCTTATTTACATTTTAACGAGCTACAATAATATTGTATTATACTTACGAAAATCCAAAAGAAAAAATTCAGACAGCATCTATTCTTGTAGAAAATGAATATTTTTTCGTGTTCGTTTGAACATTCATACAACGATCTGAAAATTTAAAAAATGTACTTACACAGTTACACAATGGAATTTTTATGCAAATTATTATTTTACAACCTTTTGAACTTGAGTAAACAATTTAGATAAATAAATGTTATTAGCACACAAACGATACCATAGCATATTTTTTAGTGAAGATTTATGTCATTTAATAAATTGTGGAGATGACATCATCAATTGTATATAATGTTTCGTAAATCAGTTTTAGAATTTTTCAAATTTTTTAATTTCTTTCGATGGGCACCTTTTTTTAAACCACCTTTTAAATCAGGGATATATTGTTAACTACATAAATTATAAAAAGACATCTTATTGTGTACATTTAAAATAAGATCTATTCATCAATATTTCGAGATAACGTCATCCGTTTTTTTGGAGAGAATAAATAAGTGATTTTGGTTAACTTTTTATTTTGTAATACAAAGATTTTAAATTTGGACTGTGTCCACATTTAGCGAAAAACACCAACAGTTGTCAGCAGCGATTTACCCAGTATTACTCTTAAAGCAAAATGTAAATCGTTACATTTGCCTTAAATTGACGTGTGCAAAGTTTCATAAACTAGTATAACATTAAATATTCGAAATTAATGTGCTTCAGTCCTAAAATAGATACCTGATCTCCCTTATTTAATTAATTTGTTAATGATCTTTCTCTATAAACGTCATTTTTGTTCTTAGGGTATTGGAATTCGCATCGTTAACCAAAACGTCAAAATTAAAAGTGCCTTCCTCAATATCGTCAACCCTGTATTTCAATTACTGACTGCTTTGACAATTTTGTGTAAATAAAAATCTAAAAATTCGTAAGTTAAATGCTGTAAAATAATTCACTTCCAAGTTTACTTTTTAGCTCTAAACAGGTTGTTACGACAGCAATGCTAGTTTATGTACGAAAATCGCATCTAAGTGTGATCACATGGATCATTAATACGTAGCGTTTAATTGCTTTGTAATGGGAGTGAAATTCGTTTAATGCTTGACGTTAAGATAATTTCTGTAACGAGCTGGGATTTTTCGATTTAATTTACAAATGTATAAAGCATTTCATAATTTTTTGACAGTGCAACAAATCATTCCATTTTGGATAAATAAATTATTTTTGATAAATTCAAAGAAATAAACTCAGCACACTCACAAACGAATTATTGTTTTAGATATTCGTAATTTTGATGATGGTAATTTAAAAATTCCAAAATTTCGTAAAAGCTCTCTTTCGAAGTGTGTAAATTCATTTGAAATAGACGACGACTATGTAAACATTTGTGCAAAAAATTATAGCTTTTGATTTACTGGCTTCGTCTGGGAGTTAAACTAATTTGAAAAGTATCCTGATATAACTCACGAATGTAATACAAGATGCAATAGTTTTAAGTAAATATGGCTATTTTTAATGGAATTCTAACATTTATTTTTTATACCTGTCAGAAGTACCTACATAACTTACAGTTTTACAATTTTCTTCCTAATTAAAATATTAATTTAATTTAATATTAATTTGCAACATATGCATAGACAGTGAATTCAAATATAAAGTGGTCTCATGTTGTTAACAATCTAGTGTTATTATGGATGATAATAACTATTATTGTGATTTTGATAAGGATCTTCTTCATATGAGTAATCATCCTCTGCAGAACTATCAAAATGTATGCTGTCTTCTACATCACCACTTGTGTGACTGCTTTCTAGATGACCACTTCCTAGATGACCGTTAGTCAAATAAACATTTCCAAAATAATCGTTTCCAATACCACTACCAGAATTTTCACTTCCTAACTGCCTGTTGTTACGATTTTTGTGGGTAATATGTCCAGATATTTCACTCAATTTATCGAAAAATTCTCTTTCATTATAATTATCTTTTAATAGTGGTGCAGCAGCAATCCATTCAAAAGTACCTATCGAGATCTGAAAAAAAGAGAACTGAGAGAGACCGTTTTAATTAAAAAATCATACGCACAAACACGAAAAATAATAACCGTGCCATTGCAACCAGTTTGTTTTTTTATGTAATATGGGCATATCACCTCTTTTATATAGATACATTTCTTTACTGCAAACGACAAATGAGAATCACGTGATGCAGGTATTTAAAGTATCAAATCGTTGCCCCACATTAATTTATCTTTTTTTTTTTAAGTGTTTAGTGAGCGTAATGGATATCTTTAAGAACAGGTCAGTCACTTTTTCTTCGAAACAGTAATGGTACTGCAAAATGTTTAATCACACCGAAGGCTAGACAACCCGTTGGAAAGCAGTAGACTCCAGTTTCGATCTTGTTAGATCTCATTATATCTCACTAACACAGTAATGGTACTGTTGGAATAGTTATTTATGTTACAAGTGTTGAAAACGGTCCATTGCATTACGAACGGGAATACGGCGCGAGACGCAGTCGAGCGCTGTATGTAAGTGAGTAATGCAATGGAGTTTTCACACGAGTATCATACAAATATTTACAGTATAAAAGAAAATTATAATAATATATAATTGCTATATTTTATTATGAATTTATTTGTATATTGCCACGCTCCGACGTAAGATCTTTTCCATCTTTTCCATCATTCTTTTTTTTAATAAATCAGTCTAACTCTAACTCTTCAAGTTTATTTTAAAATTTCAAAGTGACTGGTAAGTTTTGCAAATTTGTCTAGTCACAAATTTTAGATCAAATAGAACAGACAGAGGGAAATGGGATAAACTTTGACGTTATAGGACCTATGCGAGCAAAGAACACAAGAAATGATGTTATCAAAATGACCTTACACTTTACTTACCACCTCAGCTATCGCTCAGGAAGCCGCAATCAACATTGTGTTGTTATGTCTGTTAACTTTCCTATATTGTAAAGACAAAGATAATAATGTTACAGCTTCGTAAATGAGTCACGTGATCTTTTATTTATGTTGTAATAAGTAATTGTATTAAGTTTTGTCTGGTCCCTAACAAAAGTCTAAAGAAATAGACATTGGGACATTTTTTTGATAAATAATGAGGCTGGTCAACATTTATAAAAGTTCTTTACAAAATACTTGTTCTAGAAGCGTATAACATAAACACATAAATTTGCCCTGTAAAAATTGTTGTGTGTTGTTAATTCTTATGAAGTTTACTTTTTTGTATTTATTAGAAATAACATAACTTAGTTTTTTCTTTAACTAGAATCTTTAATTTAATTAGTACAAAATGTAAGCTAGAAGATTATAATAACAACTATTTCAAGATTTTAGCAGCCTTAATTGCGACCATAGTCATTAATCAAATTACTCTTCATCAGAATTTTCTTCGACTGAGTAGCCCTCCCCCGAAGTATTTCCAAAACTGGGTCTCTCTTCTGAACTACGGGATCCACCCAAATTGCTTCCTAGATGACCGCTTCCCAGATGGCCACTACCCAAATGGCCGCTACCTAGATGGCCACTACCTAAATGACCGCTTCCGAGATGACCACTACCCAAATGACCGTTTCCTAGGTGGCCACTGCCCAAATGACTGCTGCCGTGGTGGCCACTACTCAAATAACCGCTTCCCAGATGACCACTACCCAAATGGCCGCTTCCGAGATGACCACTGCCGAAATGACCGCCTCCGAAATGGCCACTGCCCAAATGACCGCCTCCGAGATGGCTACTGCCCAAATGACCGAGATGTCCGCTTCCTAAATGACCGCTTCCCAGTTGACCACTTCCTAAAAGACCGCTTCCAAATTGGCCAGTGTTTCCAAATCCACTTCCAATACCGCTACCAGAACCACCACTTCCTTGAATACCACTACCAAGACTACCACTTCCTAACTGACCGCTTCCCAGTTGACCATTTCCTAAAAGACCGCTTCCAAATTGGCCGGTGCTTCCAAAACCACTTCCAGTACCGCTGCCAGAACCACCACTTCCTTGAATACCACTACCAAGACCTCCACTTCCTAACTGACCGCTTCCCAGTTGACCATTTCCTACAAGACCACTTCCAAATTGGTCGGTGCTTCCAAAACCACTTCCAGTACCGCTGCCAGAAACACCACTTCCTTGAATACCACTACCAAGACTATCACTTCCTAACTGACCGCTTCCCAATTGACTATTTCCTAAAAGACCGCTTCCAAATTGGCCGGTGTTTCCAAAACCACTTCCAGTACCGCTGCCAGAACCACCACTTCCTTGAATACCACTACCAAAACCGCCACTTCCTAACTGTCCATTGTTACGGTTTCCTTGTGTAATTTGTTCACCTAATTTTCCTAATTTGTCGAGAAATCCTCTTCCAGCATCTTCTACTTGTGGTGCAGCAGCGATACAAGCAAAAGTAGCCGCCGATATCTGAAAAATATACGGTGAATTAATATAGTTTTTAATTGAAAAATAGTACTTACAAAGACGAAAGATAAGATTCCTGCCATCCTAAGCAACATGTCTTTTCACACAGTGTATGTACTCCTTTTATACAGATTTATTAACTATATACAGACGACAAACGAGGGTCAGGTATTTTAAGTACGAAATAATTTCCCCACATTAATTTACCATTTTGTTCTTGTTTCAACAGTTTATTGTGTGTAATGGGTGTTTCCAAGAACACGTTAGTCACTGTTTTTTCGAAACGTATTGGTAATTGATACTATCGGAAAAAATTGATGTAAAGAGTTTAGGCAGTACTTCCCTCGCTGTCGGGAACGTGACGACTGCAAGCCTATTATGTCTTTTCTCGTATTACATTTTTGTAATTCGTAATTTAATCAATAAAATTAATTGATTCAGTCATTAATTTTTTTCAGACACCCTGTATAAGCAAATCTAAAAAATATTAATGCAGTGATAAATCACAAGTGTATACTTATCATTATTTACACATTTAAGCATTTTTTCAGCAAAATTTTGCGGTGGCGTCATCAAATTTTTAGGGAAGATGAGCAAATACATTTTGATCAAAATTTTACCATGATAAATTTAAAACATCTCCAAGATTTCAAAGCATTCGGTTTTGTAGTTTCTGATTCACACTTTCATTACTTTTTTTTTGAGTCACCCTGTATACGCAAATCCAAAAAATATGAATGGAATGATAAATCACAACTACAGACTCATCATATTTTGCACATTTAAGATAGGATTTATTCAGCAAAATTTTGAGGTGACGTCGTCAATTTTTTAGAGGGGGATGACCAAATACATTTGGGCAATAAATTTATCATGCCTATGATAACTTTAAAACATCTCCAAGATTTCAAAGCATTCGGTTTTGTAGCTTCTGATTAAATCAATAAAATAAATTCACGCATTTATTAATTTTTTATGAATGGAATGATAAATCACAAGTACAGACTCATCATAATTTTTTGGAGCGGAAAAGTAAATATATTTTGATTAAAAATTTATCATGCTTGTCATAACTGTCAACCATCTGCAAAATTTCAAAGCATTCGGTTTGCAAAATGTTGTTTCATAATTTTGATTTTTTTTTCCAAAATCAGGACGTTTCGGGTAAAAACTCAAATCGGAGTCATAAACTACAGGTGTAGGACTATGTTGTTTTATACAATTTAAAACCAATTTACTATGTACAATTTAAAACTGACGTCATCGCATTAGTGGTGGGGATGATTAGACAAATTTTGGGTAGCGTTTTACCATCTACATGAAATTTCTAATATAAATACAAAATTTCGCAACAATCGCTTCAGTACTTTCGGAGATTATCTATCTAATAAAAATCCGGGACGGCAGACAGACAGACAGACAGACGGAAACGGGAGACCTATTTCTTCGTCCTCTAGGGGTCATGAAAGGCCAAGAAAACGTAAAAATAGAGTCGACCGACGGACTCGATTACAATACTTCCTTTGGTTACGCTCGGGAAGTAAAAAGTTGTGTGATAAATAGATATTAAAAAATTTGGATGTGGCAGATTGGAGAGGGAACAAATGTATTAAAAAACCTAATAAAAATTAATTTATTTATTAATCTAAATTTATCAATTAACTTCTTTTTGTTAATAGAACACTTCACAAAAACGATAATTTAAAGACATAAAGGGGCATTTTCCAACAAGTTTAGTCCTGTTAGACTTTTGGTGTTGTATCACTTGTCATTCAATATGTCATCAAACTTAGTTATTATTAAACTACATATATATAAACTCGGAAATACCAGCAGATGATCTTTTAAATTTCTGCTCTAGTTAGTCATAATCTTTACATCAATAATGTAAATGAAAGGCTAACGGAAGTGTCATGGCTAATTAGAGCAGAAATTTAAAAAATCATCCGATATTTAACAGTATTAGAATTTAAGGATAAAGACTACATACTTGTGACAGACAGACAGAAATGAACAGATCTGTTTTTTCAGATTCTAGGAACTATCAAGCGTCAAAAAAACATGGAAGTGAATGTCAAAAAGAAAAGCAAAAAGGTAGATTGAAAATTAAATTTTGGGAAAAAAATTCGAATAGGTGTAAAAAACCAAACAAAAACTTCATTTTTTCTTCACTTTATTTATTTTATTTTAGCAGTTTCCAAATATCGTGAACAGGGAATAGTTTATCCATAGTTTATAGTTACATCATCACGAGGACCTTCTGGAACAGTTTGAGGATGACCATGTCCTCCAGCTGCTTGTTCACTGGTCTCTCCGTGGACTATTATATGAGCAGCCGCGTTGAATCGATCGAAAAGACCTAATCCCGTAGGGCCCAAATGAATTACATCCGGAGCAGCTAATACACAAGAAACCAAAACGGCGCTCTAAAAATTAAAAAGTAATAAGTATTTTTCAAAATTTTGGATTGGGTAATTACCACAAATAAGAGAAGCATCAAACGAGACATAACGGAGACCAGCGTTTCCACTACTAGTAAATGAATTTGGAGCTTACTATTTATAGGTGTTAAGAAAATTAAAACACGTGACTTCATTAAACGAAATTTTTCCAATGGGAGCATTAAGACATTAAGTGACACATTTTTTAACATCTTTCATGATTTATTCTTGAACTAAGTTGCAAAAAACCGTTGAAAATCTAGTAAAGAGAAGAGCAATTGATAGATTAGGTATATTTTATTTAAAATTGTAGGCATTGTTAAGTATTATAATAATAATACAGCAAAAATATAGAAAGAGACACAAAACTAAAAAATATTTATTTAGAAATCATGATAAATCCAGTACACTATCTAGGCTCTGGTGTAACTTGTTCTTGAACCTTTTCATTTTGATTTTTATCGGGTTTGTGACCATACCCAAAAGCAACAACATGGGTTGCTGCGACAAATCTGTCTGCTAATCCTAATCCTTGTTGTAAAGGGAATTCTAATGGTACTGCCAGTACTACTGTCAAAAGCACCTAAAAAATAATTAATTGAAGTCTTTAATAACACAAAATAGAAAAGAAAATCTTACCAACAACACCGTGGTTTGTATTATACGTGCCATTTTTAAGATGGTACATATCGTGGTACAGTTTTTGAAATTTATAAGGGATTGTTCATTTAAGAACAATTAGTCTATCGTAGGTGTCGATATAAAAGTCCATTTGGTTTCTAATAACGAGTATTTAATTAGGCGATGTCTAATGTTTGTTTTGTTTGGGCTAAAAATGCTATTAAACACAAATACGAATCGTTCAAACATTTAGTTTGATTAACAAACTATAATTATGTTTCTGTTGCTCACCAGTAAAATGACAAGATTAATTTGCCAGCAAATGTAAATACACACCACAAAAATTTTCTCACTGATCGGCGCTGGTTAATAAAAGTGAAAATAAACATTTCTCCTGTTAGCGTTAATTTATGCACAAAATTGAAAGTTTCGCCAAACGTATAAAAGCAGTTGGGCTTAAATTTTTATAGTTAAATTCCCTATACTTTTAAATTGTATCTGTTGTCAAAATGCAGTTGGTAAGATTGTTCAATATGTAAGTTTCAAATTTATTTGGATATATTTTTATTAGGTAAAATTTGCCTGGTCCAGTCTCACAGTACTAGTGGTAATAGCACAGATAATTTACTCAGAAAAAATTGACGATTTGGCTGCCAAAATACACCAAAAACGGGAAGTTAATTCTTTTTATCGTGACAATGGACATTTGATCACGATATATAGAAGTAATCTGCATTATTTAACATCGTTTAAAAATTCGGTAAAAATTAAAAACCAAGAAAGAAAAAAGCGACAACTCGACAACGACGGTTTTGCTAATCCACGACCAAGAAGACAACAAAACAGAAGCACCACTAAACGAACTAAGCCGAAACGAAGACTGAAGTGGTATTTCTAATTTATTCTACGGGTAATTGTTTATATTTAATAAATAATGTTACAAAAATTAGAAACTTGTACAAAAATAAACATTTACGTTCTTTTATATTCGTTATTTTCTATTTAATCTTTGATTAGTGTAATTCGAACGAAGAAAATAGAAATTTCTGACTATATAAAAGACGCTCTCGTAAGTCAGTGAAGAATCGTTATTATTCTGATTATTCAAATAAAGCAACGGCTACTTAATACTAAACAAGAAAAAATGGTAAGTCCACAAATCTGTATTAGATATTCAAATAAAAAAATTACTTCTGTTTAGGTACCACTTGTGAGCTTTTTGTTGTTTACCATCGGTGTGCAAATAATGGTGTCATCAGCAAACGTAATTCCTGACGAACTTAACGATAAGAACACCATGATAATCCAGTATTTCAAAGATATGAATGAAAGTAACCTTTTGGAGAGAATAAAACGACAATTGGGTAACAGCAATTTTCAATCAACAACCCGCTTACCTACCACGACTAGAAATAATACCACTACTAGAAGAAAAAAACCGTTTCGGCCAGCATCGTGGTTTTGAAATATTTTTACAAAAAGTGGATATAAAGCTGACTTATTTGTAGTTTATTTTATTTATTGTCACTATCATTGTTTTTACATTTTAGTTAATAAAACATAATTTATTTCAATCTTGCGATAATAAAAGCATCTGAGTTAATCTTAACGAAAATATTTTTACCAAATCATTCCTAAACTGTGTTTAATTTATAGATAGCCATGATTGAAGTCAATGTCAATAAATCATTGACCGATTAAAAAATAAACTACTTAAATATTAGTTTTAAAAATATTCCAAAAAATAATAAAACTTACGAAAACTGAAATAACCCTTTTAAAAAATGAGTTTAAAGTCAAAAATGTATGTTTAATGTTGGTTTAAAAGTAGCACTGTTAGTGCATGTCATGCACACATCTACTGCCTCATTTTAATTCTAAAATTTGCTTCATTTTCCGCTGTTGAATCTTTTCATTGGCGTTAATTTGCTTTTGCACACGTGGTGCTAAACTCGAAAGTTCCAGTCCGACTTGAGATATGTATAATTATTTTTGTCAACTATCAATGTGGATTATAACTTTATTCAAGAGTGATAATTAGCTGTCACAAATTACTTACCTTTTGTAAATTAACAATGACATAGAATTTGCGTCTTTGTGACATTGTCACCTATATAAATTCATTGTTCGATCTTTAGAGAGCGCAGTTAGATATTTACCTGAAATAGTTGCTACTCACTTCGTACAATGGTAACATCCAGTGTTAAGTGTTTTTGCTTTGTACTCATGATTTTTTTTAGGGTTTACCAACGTGGACGTTATTTATTGTTCCCACTTTGGCAATTTTGTCGATGTCAGAGGGCTTTAATGTAGAACGTAACGACGAAAACGTGAATTTGGAAAAGCGCTCCGTTGATCGTGACTTTGAAAGGCGTTATAACCACTTGAAATCGATGTATCGAGGCAATCCGTTCGCTTTTGATTTCTTTAAATATTTTTTAAGAAATAGGGGACAGGATAGACACAGAAGACAAATCGACGTTAGTCTTCCTAGTAATGGAAATGGTCCTCGTACATCCGATGACAATATCAGACAAAGGAGTCCTATTCAAGGGACTAACAAGAGGGAAGCTACGAAGAGAACGAAGCCTTTTAGGCCACCTATGGTTTTCTTTTGAAGCAGAAAAGTTGGCCCAGTGTTGTAGGACTCTCTTGCCTTTGCGGTCAGTGTGATTAAAAAACTATACTTGTGATTCTTTTAATATTATTATTTAATTTTTGTCATACTTAATTGTTATTTATTAATTATTGAACAGTGTGATTATAAATAATGCTTATTCATAAAGTTGGTTTTTACATTCAGGTATTTACCACTTCTTCTGCGTAATAATTGGATAATGTTTGTTTTAACTTTTGATATTTTAGCCAATATTTTTACATGAAATCTTTTTTTAAACAATGGAAAACTCAGTAACAAATAAATTATTTTTAATCAAACGCAAATCGAATTAAAGGTTTGTAAGGAAGTAGGTTTGGGCTTGGAATTTTTATACAAATTCGAAATTTCTAAATTTATCGAATTGAAGATATTAATTTTTTTTTTTAATTAAATCGAGTTAAAGAAAAATTAGGCCCAAATTATTTAAACAGACGTTTCCCCACCTTAGAAGCATAATCATTTTTTATTATACGGCCTATGTATTAAAATAAAAAACTGTATTGTGCTCCAAGAACTTGCCAAAAATTGAATAATTTTTTATATATTTTAGAAATTAACTAATGAATTCATTAATTCTTTTGTGGTGTCTTGATATTAAAATCTAAATTTTGCGCTAAAAAAAAAACAACGCCATAAGGCCTCATTGGAAAAATTAGAAATAAAAAAAATTAGTCTAAAATTATGTAAACAGAACATCCCCTGTCCTTGAAGTACAGGTGAACAAATGTAGATTCTTCGAAAAATTATAAAATTAAATTTTGCCAATTTTATTTTTGTATAATAAGCTAAAATAATAAAATATAGATATGTGTGGACTGTTAAAGTACAGGTAAAGGAGCATGCGATGAGTATGTTTCAAGTTAGTTTTCTCATAGCAAAATTTTGTGATGGCGTCATCAACATTTAGCAAGGTCACGTATATCAATTACTGTATACTGTAATAAAATTATTCGATAAAATTTTGAGATATATGTGAGACAACTTTAAAATGTTAACAAGATTTCACAGCATTCGATTTTGCAGTTTCAAAATTAAATTGTAAAATGATGATGTAGAATTTTTATTTTTTTTTTCAAAAATCTAGATGACTAGGGTAAAAATTCAACAAGGATCAATAAAACACAAATGCAGGAGTATCTTATTTTATAAAATTTAAATAGGATTTACTATTATAAATTTTGGAGATGATCTCATCGGTTGTTGATGGCGATGTGTAAATCCTCAAAACACCGAAAATCCTCAAAACACCAAAATCCTCAAATCCTCAAAACACGTAAATCTTCAAATCCTCAAAACAACGAACTCCTCAAATCTTGAAAACACGAAAATCTTCAAATCTTCAAAACGCAAAAATCCTAAAATTCTCAAAATACCATAATCTTCAAATCTTCAAAACACCAAAAATCTCCAAATCCTAGAAATCCGACAATCTTTAAATCTTCGAAACTCCAGAATCCTCAAATTCTCAAAATATTAAAATTCGCAAATCCTCAAATTGTCAAAACACCAAAATCCTCAAATCCTTGAAACACGAAAATCTTCAAATCATCAAAACCCCATAATCCCTAAATTCTCAAAACATTAAAATCCCCAAATCCTCAAAACACGAACATTTTCAAATCTTAATAAAACACCAAAAGCCTATAATCTTCAAAACCTCATAACACTAAAACCTCAAAACACAAAAATTCCCTAATCTTCAAAAGACGAAAATCTTCAAATCTTCAAAACTCTAGAATCCTCAAATTCTCAAAACATTAAAATTCTCAGATCCTCAAATCTTCAAAACACTAAAATTCGCAATTCCTCAAAACACGAAAATCTTCAAATCTTCAAAACTCCAAAATCCTCACATTCTCAAAATATTAAAATTCTCAGACCCTCAAAACACGAAAATCTTCAAATCTTCAAATTCCCAAAACGAAAATTCTCAGATTCTGAAAACACTCTCGGGAAGCAAAAATCATTAAAAAAATCTTTAAATAACGTAGGCAACCATGGCGAAAGTTAAAACTTTTATTGTTCATTAAAAAATTGGTCCCACTACAACGAGTGTAATTAGTGCAAAACCAGTTAAAATGTGATTTTTTAATCTGAAATGTTGTGAAATTGGGACGAATTCGTCAACACGTGTGACTTCTATTTCATTGTTTGTAAATTCACAATTTATGTTAAGATTTTTCATTGTTCATGGTTTTAATACAATTTAACTACAATAATAGAAAACGTTCACGTAGAACACACCAAGAAATTTACTTATTCAGATTCAACTTATTTTAATTAACGATATGTGTATCTGAACGTTCTCACTCAAGATTTAAAAATAATTCAACTAATCTTTACGTTGACCCATTTCGAGAGGAATGACCTTGAATATTTTCAACAAGTAAATTAATTTCATCCTAGACTCTTACATGTTTAACAGTTTCTTAGGGCTTAAAATTTGAACATTTATTTTCGAACTCGCCACTTTAGAATGAAGTGTTTCCGAAACCACCTTATTTTGATTTTGAACGTATTGACTATGTGCCTGTTATGTTTATTTCATATGTACTTTGTATGTAATGTCTAATGTGGAGTTTAATAGCTGGATGTTTTGTGAAGACAGGGTAGAGCATATAATATGCGGCAGGTTTTTTGGGCATGGAAATGTAGTGTATGTGTGTGACATGATTTAAATTCGTCGCTACACCATCGTAGTAACTTGAGTATTATCATCCAGTTACTTTATTTAAGATTTTTGTTTTGTTTGTGTTTTTCAAATACTTGTATTGATTTGTAACATTTGAACATTTCTAAAAGCTGGAGACTGCAATTCCGCTATAAAAAAAACACAACTTAACGGTTTCGTTTTGTTGATCGACATACATACTTATTAGAAGCATATTCTTTAACAAATCTTTATTTAATAATTTTTTGCAATGATGTCATTAATTTTCTGGAGGAGATGAATAAATAAATTTTAATCATTGTTATGGAATTATTAAATTAATTTTAGCATCTTGCCAAAAATGAAAAAAAGTCGTCATTATAGCAGTTATACAAGTTTTTTAACTGATGTGTTAGCAATGTCTTTAGTGCAGAACACACATTCACTTTTTGTCTCACCTGTTTTACCACAAATGATCTATGTAATTCCCATCATAAATTAAAAAACCTATTAATTCCACTTTAGTTTTTTAATAAATAATACTCCTAATAAGTAATTAACAAAAATCAGTAGAATCTATAATAGTACCATGGTCGCCATGATCGCGGGTAATTCTGTGAATAGTAATATTTCCTATTATAATTATTACGAGTGTTATAGGTGTTATAGTACTGTCTTCTTCGCGTCTGAGGACGCTTATACTTTCTTCTCTGAGCTTTGTGCAGAGTGGCTCGTCTTCTCTCGGCCAATCTCCTCGAAGCAAACCGGGGCAAAAACACTTGTTCCGCAGTCACCAAAATTTCATCACTGTCGTCTGCATTTTGATCTCTAACCTGTGATACCGCTTCTGATGTCGATTTATCTTCATTTATCACTGTTTTACTTTGCGTGACACTAATTACTGCTATTACCAAAATTATCTAAAAGTGAACATTTTAATACACCGTTTTATCTAAAATGCGAAGTCGCTTACTGTTATCTCCTTCATGTTACTACCGTTACTGAAAAACTCTTTGACTACGCATGTTTGCCCTTTTAAAGACGGCGAAGAAGGAAGTGTAACAATGAAATTCTTGTTCTAGTTTATTTAATTTATTGGCAGATTCATGACACTGACATGTTGTACAGTTACAATTAACACGTAAGAGGTGCTTGTACTTTGTTGAGCCTTCATCGTGAAGCAAATTTTCTTCATTTTGGTAGTACACGAAATAATATACAAATTTGAGAAAAACATACTTGGATAAAAATGATAATTCATGACTTCTGGTTGCTGATCTCCAGGTCGTGGCCATGATCTTCAACTAAATGTTTATCATCACATGGGGCACTAGGACAATAAAGTTACACAAAGATTTCGACATACTTATTATAACTGCTGACGCTTAAATATAAACAACAAGAATATAAAAAGTTATTGACTTTGCTGAACCAAAACTAAACATTTTTTTCTTAATGATATATTTCTTCTTTACGCAACTGTAGGAAATCTGTCATAGCTGCGATCATTGCTGTTATAATTAGATGGTCGAGGTCCATACACCCGTTCTCTGTGACTATGGGTTTTCCTGTATGAAAATACAGGTCTGAAAACCATAGTGTCTGCAGTTTCCATAACCTCGTCATTTTTGTTTTCAGTAGGTGATTCTAAATTTTTATTTTTACTTTCTGTTTGTTGTGCGAGAACTGGCAGCAGGAAAAGCATGACCAAAGTACAGATAAGACAAATGTGAGTCTAAAAAATACACAAAATAAGCTTAAAAGCGAAAAAATACACACAACTTTTACTACTAATTTTGTCATGTTGTGGTTCTTGAACTTGACACTATTAAACGCAAACATAAACTAAAGAAAATAATTGGACATTGATGAATATATTGAATGTATTATTTTTGAAGAGTAATTACGCAGTGTGATTAAACGATAACGTGTTTATTAAATTCTGTAAATTAATCAGTCAAAGTTAGGAAAATTTTTACAATAAATAACGCTAATTTAATTCTGCCAGTTTCTTCTAGAAGCGTATATCCTTTGTCTTCGACTTTGTTGTTGTCTATAAGCAAACAAGGGTCTGAAGACCATCATGTCAGCAGTTTCCATGATTTCGTCGTCACTGGTTTTGTTCGTTTGTGCTTCTTCAAACTGAATTTCTTTATCGACGTCATCTGTTGAATTCGCTGTTGAAGTTGCGTTTGTTCCATTAAGCTTTTCAAAAGTTTCTGATTGTGTCTCTTGCCCAAGAATGGGTATCACAAGTATGATGAATAAGAGAAAGTAAACACAATGCATTATATAGGTAATAATGAAAATGTTGTTGTTTGAGAAACTATAAACTTTGTTTAAAGTTGAACACAACTGAAGATACAATTTATTACGAATTCGATTTAACTCTTATAAAATACAGCGCAATCTTTTTTGCGAAAAATTGTTACGTAGTATCTTTATCTCAATTCTAGAAATATGCTTTTATCAAAATTAGCAAAATATTGACGGTTTATTTGTTTCCACTAGCATGACAATCATTAAGTTTTGTTTTCCACATGTTTTAATTAAAGTTTATTGTCTGAAATTTTGTGCTTACCACGTGTATGAAACTTCAAGCTGTTAATTTACCTGCTTATCCTTTACAAAAATTTGGTGACGTCATTTTAAAATTTTGTCAAGTCAATCTCATTTGAAGTGAATATTGTGCTCTTTTATATGTGCTTCATATTTTTTTACTTATATATAATGACTCAAAAAAATTAATTAACAAAGCAGTATATTCTATTGAGTGAATCAAAAACAGTCCAATTAATTTTTCCGAAATTTTGATATTAGAGGTACTTTTCTTACGCTAAAAAGTTTATGACGTTACCACAAAATTTATTAGGATAAGACCAAAATCCTCAAATCGTCCAATAGACGTTTTGGCTATTATCCGTTGAGAAATGTGTATTTCAACAAATTGGCTTACTAAATGATTTATTTTTTGATAAATTAGGAAATATCCCTAAAGCTATTTCGGGTAATTGACATGTGTTGCATGGTAATATGTATAATTAATTAGCTAGTCAAAACACCAAAAGCCTCAAATCCTCAAATCCCCAAAACACGAAAATCATCAAATCCTCAAATTCTCATAATTCTCTAATCCTCAAAACACCAAAAATCCTCAAATTGTGAAAACACCAAAATTCTCAAATCCTCAAGACACCAAAATCCTCAAATTCTCAAAACATCGAACATTCTCATATCCTGAAAACACCGAAATCCTCAAATCCTCATAACACCAAAATCCTCAAATCCTCCAAACACGAAAGTCCTTAAATTCTCAGAATTCTCAAATCCTCAAAACACCATAATGCCCAAAACTCCAAAATCCTCTAATCCTCAAAACACCAAAAAGATTCAAATTGTCAAAACACTAAAATCCTCAAATCCTCAAGACACCAAAATCTTCAAATTCTCAAAACATCGAACATTCTCAAATTCTGAAAACACCGAAATCCTCAAATCTTCAAAATACAAAATACCAACAATTCTCAAATTTTCGAAGTACCAAAATTCTCAAATCCTCAAAATACCAAAAATCCTCAAAACACCAAAATCCTCAAATTCTCAAAACAGCGAAAATCCTCAAATCCTGAAAACACCGAAACACTAAAATGCTTAAATCTGTGAAAATCCTCAAGTCCTGAAAACACCGAAATACTCAAATGCTCAAAACACCGAAAATACTCAGATCCTCAAGACACCAAAATCCTCAAATTCTCAAAACACCAAAATCCTCTATTCCTCAAAACACCAAAACCCTCAAATCCTCAAAACATCAGAATCCTCAAATCCTCATAACACCAAAATCCTCAAATCGTCGAAATCCTCATATCCTCAAAACACCAAAAACCTCTAATTTTCAAAACACTAATAAACATCCTCAAATTGTCATAAGACTAAAATCCTCAAATCTTCAAATCCACAAAACAAGCAAATCCTCAAGTCCTCATAACATCAAAATTCACAAATTCTCAAAATTCTCTAATCTTCAAAGCACCAAAAATGCTCAAATTGTGAGAACACCAAAATCCTCAAATCCTCAAGACAGCAGAATCCTCAAATTTTCAAAATATCGAACACTCTCAAATCCTCAAAGCACCGAAAACCCTCAGATCCTCAAAAGATCGAAATCCTCAAATCCTCAGAACACCAAATTCTCTAAATCCTCAAACCTTCAGAACCCCAAAATCCTCAAATCCTCAAAACACCAAAATTCTCAAATCCTCGAAACACCAAACTTTTCGTATCCTCAAATTGTCATTACACCAAAATCCTCAAATCCTCAAATCACGAAAGTCATCAAAAATCCTCAAAACACCAAAATCCTCAAATTCTCAACATACTGAAATCCTCAAATCCTCAAAACACCAAAATCCTCAAATTCTCAACACACTAAAATCCTAAAATTCTCAAAACAACAAAATCCTCTTAACACTAAAATCTTCAAATCCTCAAAATTCATAGTCTCAAAATGCTCAGATCCTCAAGACACCAAAATCCTCAAATTGTCAAAACACCAAAATCCTCAATTCCTCACAACACCAAAACCCCCAAATCCTTAAACCACTAAAATCCTCAGATCCTCAAAACACAAAAATCCTCAAATCCTCAAAACATCAAAATCCTCCAATTCTCCAATCCTCATAACACCAAAAACCTCTAATTTTCAAAACACCAAAAATCCTCAAATTGTCAAAACACCAAAATCCCCAAAACACGAAAATCCTTAAATCCTCATAACATCAAAATCCTGAAATTCTCAAAATTCTCAAATCCTCAAAACACCAAAATTCTCTAATCTTCAAAACACCAAAAATCATCAGATTGTGAAAACACCAAAATCTTAAAATCGTCAAGATATCAAAATCCTCAAATTCATAAAACATCGAACATTCTCAAATCCTGAAAACACCGAAAATCCTCAAATCCTCAGAATACCAAAATCCCCAAATCCTCAATTCCTCAGAAGACCAAAATTCTCAAATCCTCGTATCCTCAAATTTTCATAACACCAAAATCCTCAAATCTTTAAAATACGAAAGTCGTGAAATCCTCAAAACACCAAAATCCTTAAATTCGCAAAACACTGAAATCCTCAAATCCTGAAAACATCGAAAATCGTCAGATCCTCAAAACACCAAAATATTCAAATTCTCAACACACCAAAATTCTCAAATCCTCAAAGCACCAAAATCCTCAAATCCTCAAAACATCAAAATCCTCAAAACACGAAAATCTTCAAATCGTCAAAACACAAAAACCCTCAAATCCTTAATAAAACACAAAATCCTCAAATCCGCAAAGTGTTCAGATCCTCAAAACACGCAAATCCTCAAATCCTCATAACATTAAAATTCTCAAATTTTTAAAATTCTCTAATCTTCAAAACACCAAAAATCCTCAAATTGTGAAAACACCAAAATCTTCAAATCCTCAAGACAGCAAAATCCTCAAATTTTTACAAAATATCGAACACTCTCAAATCCTCAAAGCACCGAAAACCCTCAAATCCTTAAAAGACCGAAATCCTCAAATCCTCAGAACACCAAATTCTCCAAATCCTCAAACCTTCAGACACCAAAATCCTCAAATCCTTGAAACACTAAACTTTTCCTGTCCTCAAATTCTCATAACACCAATATTCTCAAATCCTCAAAACACGAAAGTCCTCAAAAATCCTCAAAACACCAAAATCCTCAAATTTTCAAAATGCTGAAATCCTCAAATCTTCAAAACACCAAAATCCTCAAATTCTCAACACACTAAAATCCTAAAATCCTCAAAACACCAAAACACCAAAATCCTCATAACACTGAAATCTTCAAATCCTTAAAATTCACAAAGTCTCAAAATGCTCAGTTCCTCAAGACACCAAAATTCTCAAATTGTTAAAACACCAAAATCCTTAATTCTTCACAACACCAAAACCCCAAATCCTTAAACCACTAAAATCCTCAGATTCTCAAAACACAAAAATCCTTTAATCCTCAAAACATCAAAATCCTCAAATCCTCCAATCCTCCTAACACCAAAAACCTCTAATTTTCAAAACACCAAAAATCGTCAAATTGTCAAAACACCAAAATCCCCAAATCCTCAAATCCCCAAAACACGAAAATCCTCAAATCCCCATAACATCAAAATCCTGAAATTCTCAAAATTCTCAAATCCTCAAAACACCAAAATTCTCTAATCTTCAAAATACCAAAAATCCCCAGATTGTGAAAACACCAAAATCTTAAAATGGTCAAGATATCAAAATCCTCAAATTCTTAAAACATCGAACATTCTCAAATCCTGAAAACATCGAAATCCTCAAATCCTCAAAACACCGAAAATCCTCAAATCCTCGGAATACCAAAATCTCCAAATCCTCAAATCCTCAGAACACCAAAATTTTCAAATCTTCGTATCCTCAAATTCTCATAAAACCAAAATCCTCAAATCCTCAAAATACGAAAGTTGTCAAATCCTCAAAACACCAAAATCCTTAAATTCTCAAAACACTGAAATCCTCAAATCCTCAAAACACCAAAATCCTCAAATCCTCAAAACATTAAAATGCTCAAAACACGAAAATCTTCAAATCCTCAAAACACAAAAATCCTCAAATCCTTAATAAAACACAAAATCCTCAAATCCGCAGTGTTCAGATCCCCAAAACACCAAAATCGTCAAATCTTCAAAACACCAAAATTTTCAAAACCTGAAAATTGACCTGATTTGACCTGACCTTATCCTACCTTGCCATACGTGTCCTGACCTGATTGTTTTATTCCATAAAAATCCGAATACTTATCTTGACAATTCTTCATCAAAATCAAAACTCCATCGTTTATTAAGAATTAATCTGTATTCGCTCTAGTAGATTCAGTCAAAGAAATGTTTCAGTTGTCCATGACCGTGCATAATTTTCACCAGACCGCTCTGACATCCATCATATATCTTCCATATTTTTTTACTCTTACTATTTTAGCTATTTTACTTAACCACTTGTAGTACCATAAAATTTATATTTAGATACCCTCTCTCCTGTAGTACCTAATTCTTTCACTCTTTATAGTGTAACTAAATTTATACTTTTTGTGTTGTCAACACAAAACAAAATTTCGGCAAATTGTTAGTTAACACCAAGAGGTTTTCCACATATTTTATAAATGCCCATGATACTAATATATATTTTTAACATAAAAATGAACAAACGCTTTAGTTTTCAAGCGTAGCATTACACAACAGGTACAGAAGCAATATAATAGAAAAATAAACTCAAAAATAATAATTCTTAAATTATTTATTGATCATAAATAAACTATACATTATAAAACAATAAATAATTGAATAAAACTTAAGAAAATAAATAAAATCACAATAAAACTGGCACTGGTGTCATAAAACTATTAACAAAGTTACGCAACCGTGGGAAATCTGTCACCATCATCGTAACTACTAAATCTCCTCCTTGGAACGTACACTCGCCTTCTGTTACTCTGGACCCTCCTGTAGGTATAAACTGGCCTGAAGGAATAATCCGAATAATATCTTGCATTAGCCGTATCCATGATTTCGCCATCATCCTTCTTCTCCTCAGCCATCACTCCTACAGGTACTAAATCCATTTCTTCACTTGGTACTAACCGACCTTCTTCTTCTTCACGATCTTCAGGTTTCGCTGTCGGTTTCGCGTGCATGGGCATGATCAAGGCAACAAAAACAACGCAAACAAGCAAACGTGTCACCTGCAAGAACCATTAATTGTAGGCTTGAGTAAGATTGTCCTACTAACATTACTACAGAAGATGACTTACAGTGAATGTCTCCATGATCGGCTCTTGAACTTGACTCCTTTAGATTCGCACTTGGACTGATGAATGGAGTTTCGCAAACAAATATATATCCAGTTTGGGTGTCGTGACAAGACGGAATACACCGTCTTTCCAGAAAAAGCAATTACACATTTTTGTTTGCCGAAGATATTAGACGATCGTTACGTTAATCACTTCTTTTGAAGTTCGACTCGGGATTATTTTAATTACTCGAGTGGCAAAAACGTTAATGAGAAATGTTAATGATCAAAACAAAGAACTATTTGGCGCCTTTGTGTTTTGACTGACGCCAATGGCGGCGGTCATAGAATGTGGCGGTTAATTTCTGGTAAACCGTTGTCCATAAACAGTTTTACGGTGTTTACGATTTGTCAGAGTTGTTGATTTTTGTTATTTGTTCACTCATAATTCTTGCTAGGCAATAATGACATTATGTCAATTTAATGTTTGTGTATTTTCAATTATTTTTCTAATATGTTAATAGCGTTTGGTTGTTACATGTATTCCGACTACTGTAAATTAGATTAGTGTTATGTTCCATTTATCAAAAACTTTCCCGGTTTGTCAAGGCAAAATGATCTACCGACTGTTTTATTTCATCGAACAAGTGAGTATTATCAATTAAACGTCACGAAGACAATTAACACCATGTTGTAGTTCATCTTCAACCTGATGCATTTCTTAGTAAGAATCTACTCCAATCAGACCATCAAAGCTTTAGCACTGGTCTTCTTGAGCGTCTTCACTGAAATTGTGATCTATGTGATTTTGGGATTATGCTGTGTTTTCACTTCCTTGATCATTCAAATCCACGACATCATCGAAAAAAGCGAGGAAAAACTTTCCCGCAGCTCCAGTGCTCTGGTTGTAACAGAAAACAAAAACGAACGACCTATTCGGACTGGTTTTGGTGGCGATATCAAATTTTCACCAAAAGTTAAACAAAAATAAAAACATTTCTTTCTATTTGTGTTTCTATTTTTAGGTCGTGTTAGGCTAAAAATATCTGTTCTTGTAACGGTTAGTCATCAGTACTGAGTGGTTTTGAATTTAATATTGACACGAGTGATTAGAGAGCGTCTTTCAATCGTGCGTAATGGGTGTCTGACTTACATAAATTAAGTATCAAAATTCCACACGATAATGTGAACTTTTTTAGAAATGTGAAGCAAAATACTCGTTCTCACAGTAAATAATGGCTTTGTTCGAAAAGTTTTATGATTTCCTGCAATAAACTGTTTTCCTGTGTTGCTGTTGACACTGTTAATTCTATGTAAGGCTCGAAATAGCTCGTGTGCGAGTTTGTGGGTTTTGGCAGATAAATGGGATTTCGTAGCAATTATGAAATTTATTTGGGGTTTTACCTTTTAAATACTTACCACAAGACGGGAAAATTTTTGCTTCGGTTATTTGACCAGCACTTTTGGGAGTGCAATGTGGGACGTTTTTATTTTAAACGTTGCATACAAAAAATGAATTATATAATCCTTCTTTTCTAAATCTTTCGAGATGACTCACTTGAAGATTCTTTTTCTCGTGTTAGAAATTTTTTATTTTTACTTTTCGAGTGAAAACTAGAGAATATTGCCCTAAAGTCAATTTATCGAATGGTTAGTTTTGTTTTCTCGACGTTTGATAACTCCTAGAATATAAAAAAGTGGATCTTTCCTTTGCCCTTCCTTGTAGTCCATTTATCTGTCATCTGTTAACAATATTGGACAGATAATCTCCGAAAGTAACGAAATTCTGTTTTAAAAATACCATGTAGATGGTGAAGGAAAAACAAAAATTTATTTAATTAAAGGAGCAATTCTAAATCAAACATACTAAATTTAAATGGTGTTAAATCAGACGTTTTCAAATTAATTATCATAAGCATGGTAAATTTTTAACCAAAATACCTACATCTGTTGATCCCCCAAAAAATTTCAAAATTTTTTCAAATAAATCATGTCGAAAATGTGCAAAATATGATGAAGTTTATACTTGTGATTTATCATGGCATTCACATTTTTTATAATTGCGTATATGTACAAAGTGACTCAAAAAAAGTAATGAATAAATCAGTTTATTTTATTGATTAAATTAGAAATCGGTCACGTCATTTTCCCGAAAGGGTTTTCATGAAAAAAATAAATAAAAATCACAAAATCAAATTTTTTAATTTTTCGAAAAAGGTGAATATGTTGTATTGTACTTCAGAGGCAAGGGAAGTTCTGTCGAAATAACCTTCGATTAATTTTTCGTCTCTATGAATCATGAAACGTCGAGAAAACATGAAAGTGACAAATCGCCCGGTGGGACTCCATTACTATACTTCCTTAGCTTACCCTCGGGAAGTAAAGTAAAAAATTGCATAGGGGCGCACCGAAAAAATGAAGTTTTGGAAAAGTTAGCTAGAAATTCTCAAAAAATTCTGGAATATAGAATCCGACTTGAGGACTTTGGATCCTTAGTTTACGTTCGGGAATTAAAAAGTCAAGAATTTCATAGGAGGTTGTCGAAAAATTTAGGTTTTGGTAACGTTATTTAGAAATCCGCAAAAAATTCTGGAATATAGATTTTGAGTCCTTAGCTTATGCTCGGGAATTACCTAAAAACTCAAAAATTTCATACGGGGTTATTGAAAAATTGAGGTTTTCTAAAAATTACCTAGGAATCCTCAAAAAATTCTGGGATATAGATTTCGACCTGAGGATTTTAGATCCTTAGCTTAAGTTCGGGAAGTAAAAAGTCAAAAGTTTCATATGAGGTTATTGAAAAATTGAGGTTATCGAAAAGTTATCTAGAAATGCTAAAAAAAATTCTGGAATATAAATTTCAACATTAGGATTTTAGATCCTTGCCTTACGTTCAGAAAGTAAAAAGCCAAAAGTTTCATACGCTGTTATCGAAAAATTGAGGTTTTCGAAAATTTACCTAAAAATTCTCAAAATATTCTGAAATATAAATTTCGACCTTAGGATTTTAGATCCTTGGATTACGTTCGCGAACTAAAAAGTTAAAAATTTCTTAGCGAAAAATTGAAGTTTTGGAAAAGTTACCTAGAAATTCTCAAAAAATTCTAGAATATAGATTTCGAATTGTTCTGTTTGAAGTTTATTTATTTTTTTAATTCTAAAAAAGTCATATTCCACCGGGCGATTCTCGTAAAATGGTTACAGTTTTCAAAGAAATGAGGCCGAAAGTAACTTCAGGAGGTCGAAATCTACAAAAAAATCTATTTAGGTAATTCACTCTTTTTTTCCTGAAAATAAAATTTGAGGATCAAAATATTTATTTGTGACAAAAACTAGACTTGTTAATAGATTGGCTTCCAGAGGCGCAGGAAGTTCCTATCTAAATGACTAGCTCCTTTTATTATTATTACGATTCAAAGAATTTGATAAAAAGAGAAAGTAAGACCTCTGTTTAGACTTTTGATTGATAATTCCAATTACCTAATTTGGCAGAAAAATTGCAGAATGTTATTTCTATTAAAACCACTGTATTTTTTAATTAAATTTATTGTCAATGCAAAATACAAAAAATAAATAAACGAAATAAATTAATATAACATTAATAAATAAAATTACGGATCACAAAATACTGAAAGTAAATACTATAGAACACAAAAACTAAATCATTTCTCGAATATCTAATTATCCATAATAATAATATCCAGGATATCGTCTCCTTGGCACATAAACTCTCCTTCTAGAACTCTGCATTCTTCTATACGCAAACAAAGGCCTGAACACGATCGCATTGGCAGTTTCCAAAAGTTCTCCATCATCGTTGTCGGTAACATCTTTAACTGTAGTCGTAGCTACATCATTTTTTGCAGACGAATTTTCTCCTCCCTCGGATTTTGGTAAAGTTGGTTTTGCATGAACTGACAAAATAACAACGGCCAAGACCAAAACAAAGAATCTTGCAATCTGTAAATAACACCGTAACGATATTAACATAATGTACTCTCAATGAAAACAATAAAAAACTTACATGAAAGGATTCCATTTTTAGTACAGTGACTTTGTTCTTGAACTTCACACTTGAGCTTTCAAACTTTGACTGTTGCACATCTTTCGAGCAAGACTAATTTATATTTGAGATGAAGTGATTTCAGCGACTTTTTTTCGAGAAAAGCACTTACACACTTTTATTTACAAAATATTTTAGCGCTGTCGTTACTCATTTGGGTAAAACAGAGGTACAGTGCTGGTAAAATTTGAAAGAGTAGTCGGTTCGTCAACAATCGAATAAACGTTAAAAATTTTTATAATGATTTTATCTTAGTCGATTTTTCTCATGAAACAGAATGAAACTAACATAATATGATCCAAAAGAAATAAAATAATTATAATTTAATATTTTCTAACGGCTGGTCATAAGTGGCATGAAGTTTCGTGTTGGCAAAAGCAATTAGAGTGTCTTTACGGGTTTCTCTAATGATAATGACTCGTTGTCTGCACGGAATAATAGATTTAAAGGCCACAAGTTGTATGGAACAAGAAAAATACCTTACTTGATGACAACCTGATATTTACTTGATGGCATGCAATTTAATAAATCTTAGAATGTGGTGTTGGGTATTATTCACTAACTTGGTTTTCTTCGTAATTTTTCAATACTTGTAAAATTTATTAATTATTCAGGCGTTGGACCTACTGACTCATCAAATAAAATTTCACACCATCTTGGTAAAATATTTGGTTAGTGTTTTGTGTAAACTATTAATGGCACTGAATTTTTCCATTAACAGAATATATAGATTCAACAACAACAATTTTTACAAACGTGATTTTACTTATTTTTTTATTATTGTGAAATAAGTATTTTAATGGAATGTTTAAGTAAATTTATAACGTAAATGTTTAACATAACTGGTTAGAATGAAATATGTTCACAATGTAGATAATTTAGAGATATTCATGAATTTTTTATCACATCTATTGTTCAAACACCATCTAATGCAATTTTTTGACTTGTTATTAATTTTAATTTTGACTGTACTGAATTTTGAAAAATCAAAACTGTCATAATTTTGAAAAATCACCACCAGAAAATACAACGTGTTTCAAAGTGATTTTCATCTAGTCGCCTACGGCTGCAGATTTTCATCAAGGGAAAGATAGGAGTTGAAGCGATTTCAAAGCTAACTAGATGAAAATCATTTTGAAACACTCTTTATACATTATACACTGACCGGCCACCCCGAGAAATTTCGCAAAACCACTTTAAAAATTATGAATTTAACTAGTGATCGTTATTTTATTAAAGAACCATTCACTATTGACACATGATCTATAAATTAGCAAAAAAAAAAAGACAAATAGACCCAGAATTAAATTTAATTTAACAAAATAACAAAAACAGACCGAGTACGATATTTTCTTAATTATAACAATAAAGGAGGCTGTTTTTGTAAACAGTGTTTTTCATCATTTGATTATAAGTTTGGCAGTTAATAAACGTCGTTTTCACGCGAAAACAATGCCATTAACTCTTACAGACGTCTCTCAAATTGTCGCTCTATTTCTGTTATTTTGTTAAATTAAATTTAATTCTGTGTTTATTTGTCTTCTTTTTTTTTGCTAATTTATACATTGTATCAATAGTGAATGGTTCTTTAATAAAATAACGATCACTAGTTAAATTAATTATTTTTAAAGTTTGGTTTTGTGTTTTTGTTGTGTTGGTTATATGTAGATCTTACTATTAGAAATAATTGTAAGACATACTGTATTTGTTTCGTTAATTTTAGTTCAAATCGTAATTCGAGTTGTATATTACTCATTAGCCGTTTTAGAAAGTTTAGGTGAATAAACCGAACTGATGGCACATCGAAACAATAATTAACATTCCAAAAATAAAAGTAAAGTATTACCAATTTTGAAATTTTTTAAAATTACTACACCCATTATCCAAATTTTATTATCAAAACGTACAATATAAATGATCACAAAAATTAATCTGAAAAATTTACTAATCACGAAGGATTTCACAGACGTTTTCAAATAGATTAAGCAGACGCCAGAATGACTGCAAAGCAAAGGGCTAATAACAAATTAATTACACCTGATCATTATAAAAGCACCTAAACCAAAATGTACTTCCACTTTCAAATCAGACACATCTTTGTAAACACAAAATTGCAACAACCATGAAGTTCCTTCACATCATTTCCTTGGTAAGACCTTTTTTGTTTTTAACGTTCTTGTTTTTTTATTTATCAAATATTTTTAGGTTTCCATCTTGACTATCGCCTCCTGCTCGATCTACAGCATTGAAAACCCAGATGGTTCTTACACGATTGGTCACACCTCTGCTTCCAGAGGCGAAGCGGGGAACTCCGCCGCCGCTGTTCTTTCGAAAGGAGCAGGTTACACCCTCAACGAAAATTATGAACCCGAGCAAGAAGATTATCAATCAACACTTGTAAGCGAAGATACAGAATCTAGGAATCTTCTATCGCCCCACGTGGAAATTCTGCAATTAATCGAGACGTTCCTCCGGTTCAAAGGTGAACTGGCTTCAAGAGTTCAAGCCCTCATCTCTGACAACTGGGAGATAATTCGGGGCGTCTACTTAGCTGTCATCAACAAAATAGGAACTCTACACACTTTCACCCTCACCGGAATCAAGATTTTGAGGAAAGTGTTGGAACTTGCGGTGACTTTGATGGCTCAGTGGCAGATTAATTTACCGTCGGTTTCGCTGGACTTTAATGTGGGGAACGAAAATACCAACCAAGGGAGTTCTTTCCATTTTGACAAAAATGCCTTTTTTGGTAGAAAGTGATTTAATTAGTGTAAAATGAGATGTAACACCTATTTAAATTTTTAATAAAATTAATTTATTAATACATGTGTGGGATGTTAGTTTAGCCATTATAGCCGAAGTTGTAGTCAATTTGTGGCACGTCGAAATTTTCCCAGTTGTTGCCATACGGATAAAAATCTCTTCCTGATCTTTTGGAGCTATCGACTGATTGCCTTTCGTATTTGTCGTAACCTAGGGCCTGTCTGGCTTTTGGTATGTTCGTGGGTATCTCCTTAGGACCGTAGTTTTGTGGTTCTTGTATTTCAGCGGCATGAGTTTTGTAGAAAAAGAAAGTTACAAGAACACATATCCAAAATCTCTGAAAACAGAGAACAGTGTTAAAAATTACTCTTCCACCATAAGTTAATCATTCATAAACCTACACACTGAGACAAAGTAGTTTGTATTTTAAACAATAAAATAAATTGTTATTTTTGGGAGTTCAACAACTTGAAGTTCCATTATGACGGCAATATGAGATCAAATTTTTAAATGTCAGTTTTCGCTATTGTCTTTGCTTAATGGTTTCTTTGCAAAATAATATTCTAATAAACACGTTCTTAACGACCTTATCCATATCTAAAATAATTGGAAGACTAATCATGATGTCAGAACCATTTAAACAAAATTGGTGATGTGAACAATAAACCTTATATGTTCAACGTAGCATTTACTGAACATTTAAGAACTCGGAAGGAAAATTAATCGAAGGTTAAAGTTTACATGTATACAATTTACGCCACATTTACGTACTGTGCTAACATAAAGTTAGACATTCTTGATAAAATCAATTTAAAATTTCAAATACTGTTTACACGTGTTTTGTGTCGCTCCTGTAAAGTTATGTTAAAAAAATTCAGATAATTTTCGAATTTGAAATAAATAAATAAATTTGCCTATATTAACTCATCCCAAAAATTATCTCAGACTGTATGTGATTTTATGTGAATTTTACTAACTTTTTCAAGTGTTTTTTTAAAATAATGCGGTAAGAATATCATAAAAAAATATCGATAACATTTTTTTCTAATTTTTTGCAGATGCTATGAATATGCAGTTTTACTGTTGCATAAAAAATCTATGAACTATGACATTTAGGACAGTGTAAAATATGTATACAATCCACAAAAAAATTTCATAAGATTCCCAGACGGTTCTAAAAAAAAACCACTAACAAAATTTATAAATCAACCGACATTTTGAAGAATTGTCCAGTGTTACGTAATTTTGGTGTGAAGCTTGCGATTTATCACTTTTGACGTGTTTTTGAAAGTAACCCAGTCTCATCAAAGCAGAATCGACACAATTTTACTGAACAAAAATTTTTGTATAAGTTTAAAAAAATGCTTGAATTTGTTAATACTATGTAAGTGGCATGGGGTCGGTATGATATTTTTTTTGTCACTCTTAAAATTAAAAAAAAAAAATTAAAAATATCGCTAATGCGGGAAAAAATGTATCAGACAATTATAGTTATTGCCTTACCAGATGCATTTTTAGGATATCCTCTTCAGTTTTCCCACACTCATCCACTCTAATCTCGCGACTGAACTTTTTTGAATTATATCTTTATTCCCAGTAACTTTACTTTCAATTATACCTCGTTGATGGGGATACGATCCGCCTCTGATTAGCCAGATGCAGCTTTCTCGTCACAACATAAATATTTATTGTGAAAATTACACACATTTATAATTATCAAATCCGAATAAATTAAACGTTTAAATTACGCAAACTGATGGCCCAGATGATCAAATTCCATCAAAAAATCGACACATCCTGGTACCTTTGCCTTTCAACGCAGCCAGAGTTAGATGTGCCTTCTGGCTATTAATACAAGAAATTACGTCCAAGTAGGTATTATTTATGAAGTAAAAATCACGATCTGAAATTAATCACTTTTCAAGGTTTCGTGTTAGGTGAACATGTGCATAAAATTTGATTTTTTATGGCTGCAAATTGAGAGATAAATTAAAATGCAATTGTTATTTTGATGGAATTATGTAAGCTGAAAATACAAAAAACACATTTTTATGGCCAGAAGCTACAAACTGTTTTAAACGTGTTGTCCAATTATTGTTTTTCAATTAAAATTCGTAGCTTTTTTAGTTTTTAACTCAAACAAATATGTTATAAGCTTGTAATTAATTACATAATAACTTTGTATTAGTGAGGGTCAAGGTAGCAATATTTAGACACACAAATTTTATTACATCAAAATTAAGTAGAATTTTAGATTCCCCAAATTTAGAATTACCGCAAGACACTTCAGTTTTTGTTTTGTAAATCAATAAAGTTGTTATTTTATAGTGAATTCAATTCGGGTTGTGACCAGAAAACACTCGTATTATCAGAATCAGTTGGAATGTCCTACATTTGATATAAAAATTGTTTCGCTTTCGAAACGACCTTATATTATCACAACCCCGTAGCGTAAATAATGTGTGTTAAAGTTTATTGTTTTAAAACCTTGCTGCACAAGTGACGACCTTCGCAATTATCGTTTTCTTTCCTCCCATTAATCGCATTTATACATAAATTTTACGTCTTCCATAATTTTAAATAATTACAACAATTTAAAAACACTTATTATTTAACATTCCGAGGCGTCATCGTTTTATTTGGCTGAGTGATATGTTGTGTTCCTTCATTGTTTAGATACACAAGAAATCAGCAAGTCAAGTAATTTTTTGTCGTTGTATTGTAGTTGGATATGTAAATTTTGTCTGCTATGGACCATCTGACAACATATAAAGGAAACAACTTCAATATGTAATTTAAGTTTAGTTGAAACCGAAACAGGTGACAATAATGTCGAAACTAGTGAGAAAACGGGTTTTTATTCACTATGAAGACTAATTGGTTTTTATTTTAGATTGGGTTTTTAGTAGTGATTGTAGGAGTTCAAGTGGCAGCGTCTTCGTGGGAGTTTTATAAAGGTAATGAAAAAGTTATATTAAAAAGCAACTTTGTAGTAATTTATTTGGTAGGTCCTGTAGCATCGTATGGTGGCGTCAATAACAATGGAGATATAGGTGTCAGAGGAAGTGATGGATCACTTCGTCAAGGTAACTAAAACATTTTGCTGTTTCTGGCAATTTAATTTCATTTTTTAGAAACGTATTATTATTTGTATCCAAATTTCATAAACCCACTTGGAGGTGTTGATAATAATGGAAAAGTAGGGGTTAGAAGAAGTGATGGTTCGTTGCGTCAAGGTGATGGACGATATGCTAGTGCCTACGGTGATGGTAACAATGCTATGAAAAAGCCAAGCAAAAAGGGCAAACTGAAAAACAAAACAAAATAAAAGTACGAAACGTGAAAGAGAAATGTTTATTTCTTTGATCTATTTTCTAATCTATGTGCTGCAGCTATGTTTAACCTAAAAGTTGCTGTAGTTTCTATTACAAATAAAGACAAAAAAAAATAGATCAAACTTTTAATGTACATAGGTATGTTCAACGTATCTATTACGGCGTTTTTCTGATGAAACATTAATAACTTTATTCAAACAAGTGTTAATTAATAAAAGCCTCAGGCAAAAAACAATGAACCCTTACAGAGTCTGAAGCTGATTAAAATTCGTTGCGATGGTTAACGAGCTATCCTCACCTTCGTCGCTGCGACGGCCGACCCGATACCGTCACCTTCCTCGCTGCGAGCTGCGACGGCCGAAGCACTATAGTCACCTTCGCCGGAATCGCGCTGACTCCTACACCACTGTTATGAGCAGTGGCGTAACAATTAAACTGCGGGCCTGTGTTCTACAATACTGTGGGGTCCCTAATGAACAGCGAAATAAAAATATTTAAAAATACGAGTATAATGAGTAAAGTATGAGTAGATTGCAATTAGGGCTTATGTTTTATTAAAATCATTCTACCTGAAACACTGAATTAAAAAAATAAAATACAGTAATTACCTGAATACATATAATTAAAATATATATATACAATTATGCATATTAGCCGACCCGGCAAACGTTGTTTTGGCATTTCTAGTTAATATTTTGGTAGTTGAATAAAAAATTAAATTAAAATAGATACATATAAATATAATTAAATTAAATTATAAATTATACATAAAAATTTATCGTACGACAATGATTATATTCAATAGCCCTCTTGCAACCCTATTGCGCATCTATGGATGAAAGCAAAGATGCTCATATCGTTATTAAAAAATGGGGGTTGGTGGTAGAAGGGTCAAAATTCAGGGTTATATGTATTATTGGTACCAAATCTTAAAAAAAAATAAAAATAAAAAATGTCTAAATAATTAAAAAAAAATTGGTGGGCCACTTTACTAGACCTACCGAATATACACAAAAAAATTTCATAAAAATCGGTCAAGCCGTTTCGGAGGAGTTTGGTTACAAACACTGTGACACCAGAATTGTATATTAGATTATTTTAGAACAAATTTCATTACCATAAAAAAGGTTATACTGAGTCGACCTTAAGAGATAGACATATGCTGTCGCGGACTTTTTTTTAGAACTTTTAGAGGGGAACAATTCCATCACACATGATTTTTATGTAACTTTAACTGTTTAAGCACTGTAAGCAACGGAAGCTGTCAAAGGAGGAATAATTTTCCCGTTTTTCCGATATTTTTCATTGCTGCTCCGTTTCTATTGATAGTAGCTGATGTTATGTAGCCTATATGTAGATACGATAAATGGACTATCCAACACAAAAAGATTTTTTAAATTCGAACCAGTAGTTTCTGAGATTAGCGCGTTCAACCAAACAAACTCGTCAACTTTATAATATAAGTATACAAGTATAGATAAAAATGTCCATTTTTTTTAATCTCAAAATTGTTTTCTTCTTGCTTTCCAATGGGCACAAGTTGATACAAAATTTGACACATCTAAGCTTCTGGCAATTTGATTTCCAATTGAGAGATTCAGTGAAGATAATCTGCATTGGCCCATTGTGTTTCTTAAAAAATTTTTAGTCATTTTTAATTTCGAAAAAGATCTTTCCGCTGAAGCCACCGAAAGAGGTATTGTAAGAAAAGTGAAACATGCTGTAATAATTTCAGTGAAACTAGTGCAGGTAGGCCATTCTGTAATAATCTAATAATTTCCCAGTCAACTTTTTTTTCTACTTAAAAAATTAGTTGTAACATACATCAGATATATTTTATTATTCCAAAAAGCACCACAAGTACAAAATTAAAATAGTTTTGAAAATACGAAAGTTTTCATAAAACACAACTGAAACTGATTTTTTTTTCACGTCTTATTACAGTATGAAGTTTCACTGTAGATCTGAGGACAAAATTAAAGTATTTTGTTGTCTTGTATCATAAATTAGTCATACTTTTGTCCGATAAAGATTGGTAATTTACTACATGGGGTGTTAGATTTGCCACAATGGGATTGCGACACTGCAACAGGTTTATTAGAAACAGATGCTGCTGCATTTTCGACCGCCGGTGCCGGTCACTAAAACCAGAGTTTATTGAGTCTATGATATTGAGATGCCGCCAAAAGTCCAGCCCTTTGCAGCAAAAAATTCGTAAATAGCAATGAACCATCGCCGATCCTGGGATTACCGCACATTTTGGAATTTTTTATTTCGGGATGTAATTTGGGCAATAATATAAAAAAATCTAATAAAAAAAATGTTCCGTGTGACCGGACCGGGCCCCTTGAAGCAGCTGGCCCGTGTTCCGGCGAACACATGGAACACCGGTAGTTACGCCACTGGTTATGAGCTGATTATATTGAAATGGCTGAAATTCAGTTTTTTCTCGAAAAAATATAAAAGCATAGGCGTGGTTTAGATACTTTTCTTCACTTATCTGTGCTTTGGTGGTTTGTTGGCAGTCTCTTGTTTCCCCATAAATTTATATCAAGGGTGGTGGTAATCTACAAGGCAAATTTTCACAACAATAATTGTCAACGTAAACGCCTGGCCTTGAAGTTCCTCTGTAAGGAGTTTGTCATAAACTGTAAAACTTGTTAGTTAGTACAATTTTTTTTTTAAGCAACTGCTATGTTTAAAGCAAAGCATTAATTATTATCAGTTTTTAAAGTCGATCATTAAACAAGAGACATTTTCGTATTCTGAGAACGACAAAAATAATCGAAAGTAGATATTTTCGTCAGAATGACTCTATTACAATATTTTCGGAAAGTAACACAACCCATGCACAGTACCACATCTGATTTAATAAGAAAAAAATCCCGGTATCGTCTTTGTTGCATATGTCTTGAATTCAAATGTTGTGGTTGGGTATTGACTCTAACGGCCACAAGAAACCAGAAAGTCCACTTATTTTTTTATTCTTAGGTACGTTTGATGACTTCTTGATGGCATGCAAATCTGATTCTTGTGTGTATCCAGCAGTGTTATAAAAGAAGTATAGCCGAACTGTTAGACTGTACAATGAGTAAAAGACTGGTAAACGATTATTTACTTTTTTGTAGTCGTAATCATAATTATTTCACGTTTAGATTGAATTTTTGTCGGTGCTGGTGGCAGTTCTTGTCGTCCACTCAGCACAAGGTTGGTGATTGCTTTTAAATCATGTGTAACTATTTTACAAATGTATCATGAACTAGGTCATCAAACTCCTCTGGGAGCTGTGAATAACAATGGAGACATTGGAGTTCGTGGAAGCGATGGCTCGCTACGCCAAGGTGACAATGAAAATGTTAATCATTCCGCAGATTTTAAAAATTTGAGTGTCATATAGGTCCGTTTCCTTATTTTCCGTTTCCTTTAGTGCCTTTGGGTGGTGTAAACAATAATGCAAATATAGGGGTGAGAAAAAGTGATGGTTCACTACGTCAAGGCAATGGCCTGTATGGTGGAGAGTACAAAACAAAACTACAAGAGTTTGGGCAAAAAGCAAAATGAGACGTTGTTAAGTTGGATGAGTGACTAAAATGCTTCACGTAGGTATTAGTAAGTTCTTAACATTTACAAAAAAAAAAAAAAATGTTTTAGCTTGGTTTCTTGCAAGAAGTCTTCCAGTTCTTGACTTTTCTTCCGCATCGAGATAATATTTTAATTATAGTATTATATAAGTACACTTTTTAAGTCCTTACGACGAAACTTAATAGTGTAAGACTTATTACATTTTTTTAAGAATAAATGCTTCTTTACTGAGTAAATTAAAATTAAAAAAGCACGACTTTGGTTTTTATTTTACAACGCCAGTATTAAAAGTGTTGAGTGAATAAGTTTTTTAAAATAATTTTATTAAAAAATATACAAAAAAAAAGTCCTCCCCGGCGGGGAATCGAACCCCGGTCTCCCGCGTGACAGGCGGGGATACTGACCACTATACTACCGAGGATTACATTTATTTGTATCATACGTTCAAGTTTTAAGCATTTTACCACTTACAGTAAATACTTCAATTTTTTTGATAACATAACAACACTATTGCTTCCATCCGTTACATATTCAAAACCGTTATAAAATTACAAAGGTCAATCAATAAATTAAAACCACTTCGTCTATTTATATCTCAAAAATCTACACCTGCGCACACGGCCCGTGGTCGCTTCCCAACATTTTCGTTTACTTAATCAGCTGGAAAATTACCACCACACGACCCAAAACTGACTTAAAATTGCATTTTCATTATCATAGAGTGTAAGTACGTCATGCACCCGTCACAAATCTTCCAACAACCCATCAAAATTTTTAGGTTATCCCCCTTGCGATGATGTTCGGCAGTGTAGTCAACAGGACCCTCTCAAGCACCATCGCCAGGGCCCCTTCCATCCGATTCAGATATGGAGCTTCCCGTGACCAACAAAAAGTAACATCTGCCACTACCCCCGGAGCAGCCAGTGGCCAAACCAAAAGCGCCGCAGCCCAACCTGGAGAACCCATCTACGACTTCCAGATACCCCAGAGGTGGAGGAGGCGCCCACTTAGCGAGGAAGAAATCGCGTATATTAATAGAGGGGGTCCTGAGTAGTTTTTCATTCAACAAAGTCCAGTATTGTTAATCATGAGCTTAAGAGGTGTAAGTAATGTAGTTGATGTACATCATCGTCGTCATTGTTAATTGTTCCATGTAAATATAATAACTCATGCGTTTTGAAAATTTTATTTACAAAATTTAGTTACATAATCACAAATCGGCAGTGACCAGTTGGTACGTATTGGCGCCTTTATTTAAAATGAAACCTTGAATGTTCAAACTTTGCAAAACTGTGTAAAACTTGGACTGAGCGATCCCTGCTGCTTCACTCAACTCGCGGATTTCGTTAGTTGTAAAAAGCGATTTTGTTTCGGATTCGGATGCTGCTTGCATCAGTTTTAATAATTTTATAACCTGAAAAGTATCAATGTTTGTAGATATGTATGAAGGGGTGGTCAATTAATATTACTTGATTTTTGGTGCTCATGCCGGTACCACATTGTGACCTTGTGGTGTCCATAACACCTTTGCTGTCAGTGAAAATATCCACCAAAGTCTCTTTCATTATTTCTACGACATCAACTGCGTCTTCTTTGGTGGCTTCCTCCCTCAGTTCTGCTTTTGCCCTTGCCTATTAAGCAAACAAGAAGTTAAATGTAAACTTTAGTAGAATAGAATAGATAAATATGAACCTGTGTTAGTCTGATTAGCGAGTTCAATTGCCTTGTTGTGATTGGTGTACAGTCGCCAGTTTGATATTGTTTTCGTAGTTGGAAATAAAAATCCCTTAATACTTTCTTAGCTGCATCTGACAGTTGCGGATTAACATATTTTTGAGCGTAAGCTATGTATTTCCTGAACAGACTATGAGGTAAGTGGTCGATTTCGTCGTCATTTTGTAGACTTAAGCGACCTCTACAAATCCATCTTAACCAGTTACTGCATTAGTGCGTGTAAACCTACCTTAGGCTGTTATTACAGGCATTTGATATCCTAGAGTAAGTTTTATTTATAGCATAGCTTGATCCACTTTTTCCAGAATGTAAAGCCAAAACGTGCTCTGAAAGCATCATATCCAGCTCCTAAAACAGTTTCCTCTACATACTAATACATTTTAGTTTCATAAACAAACCTCATTAGGCTGGTCCAGAAGAATAAAAATCAGATCAAAACGAGACAACATTGGAGAACTAATTTTCAAATTTTCTGCAATAGTTTTCGCTTTATTGTAGTGCCCCCCTGTGGGATTTGCAGCAGCCAAAATCGTAGCCCTAGTTGGTAATGTACAGACAATCCCAGCTTTCGCTATACTAATAGTTTGTTGTTCCATGGCTTCTAAAAGACTCTATTTCTCCCATAAATTATAAATACATAAAAAGTATGCACATACCGCGTGTTGCGTAGGCATTTTATCAAACTCATCAATACAACAACACCCTTGATCCGCTAGCATCAAAGCCCCCGCTTCTAAAGCATACTCTCCCCCGCTTTCCCTAGTCATAGTCACAGTCAAGCCAGACCCAGTGCTTGTGTTACCGCAAACGTAGACTCCCCTAGGGGCCACATTTACGCAAGCATGCAACATCTGCGATTTTCCCAAACCAGGGTCGCCAACCATGAGAACGTGAGACTCTGCACGTTGTCTGTCTGATTTCGTGCCCCCAAAAAGCGCGAGAAGGAGGCCAGCTTTGACTAGTTCGTGCCCGTAAATGTTGGGGCATAGGGAGTGGACAAGAAATCTAAAGAGGTTGGGCTCAGCATGGATTTTCTGCAACGTTTTAACTTATTAGTTAGTCGTGGTTGGTATTTTTAGTCATTACTTGGATTGCGTAGTAGTCTGTTATATTGAAAGTGATGCGTTCAGAAGCCCCATAACTGCCTTCGCTTTGATTTTTATTATTAACGATGGAGATGACTTCTAAGTACAAGAGGAAGAGGGTGTTTGGTTTATTTTTGTTGGACGACTCATTGCAGTTGCGCACCTGAAGGTTAATTAATTAATTAACTGTGTAGGAATGTGATAATAGTCACCTTAATTACTCCTGTTATTGTTATGTCATCTCCAGGAACACAAGAATTGACTAGGTCTTCAGTAAACTCACATTCTAAAGTTCTAGGAACACGTCCAGTCTCAAACTAGGCATTTAATCAGTTACGGAGTAATATTTATGAATGTGAATAACAAACCTCATCACTCCCTAATAACTCTTGAATTTTTATAGATTGGAAGCTAATTGTTCTTGTGTAGGGTGAATTATACAAGGGCTTGAAATTTGACTGAGCTCTGCAACCACTTGTCAAGCATTTATTGGGCACAGTGTACACATTATCCACTTGTTTAAAAACTTGAACTCCTGTACAAGTACTGCAAGAAAATACCATGTATTGGTACATTATTTTTATGTTTGCTGCTTTAATAACTGTACCCCTGAGGGACACTAATTTGTCTACAATTTCGTTATTTATTAATATTACATAAATTTTGCGTTTTTTGCTTACTGTAGTTATTTACACGGATATCTTTGATTTGTTGGATAGGTTCATAATTGATAAGTCTTGCTCTAATTATCCCTAAGGATTTATGTGTATTACCCTCTTCTGAATGTTTACTTTTATCCACATAATCTTTTACAATAGTCTGATGCATAGCCAATCCCATGCAATTTAAACAAAACTCTGTATTATTAATAATTTCAGATTTAAAATTTTGCCACACAGTACATAGCTCGTCTTCGTCAGAAATTAAAAATTTATAGTCCACAGTGAATGATTTTTGTGCTTCGATATCTGGTAAGGAAAATGATGTCTCATGGCGGTTAATGAAACGTTCAAATTGAACAACACATTTGATCAGTGTTTCAACTTGTAAATCCCCTTCAATGAAAAATAATGTAAGTTGTACTTAGGCCCTTCACATACAAACCTTCTTCAGGAAAATATAGTTTGAATCCGTAATAACCGTGTTTTGGCTCGTAATTAAAATTGGTGGCCGCACTAACTAATTTTGGGTTTACTTGTGGCTGTTTTTTCGTAAACCATGGGCGATTGTTGTTTCGAGGGTTAGACATTATTAAAATTGAATATTTAGATTTTATTTTAGCTGCGAGGTTATGTTTACACCATTTGAAAATGACATTAATCGCAGAATCGGACATGGGACAGGGGCACCAATGCATAAATATAAATAAGCTAAGTTGGGGTTAAATTCAACTGTTGCGAAAATCGTGCCCTAAATCATTAAAAAAACTTGATAGAGGGTTTCATAAATTTTATATTTTGAAATCAATTTGTTTAGTAAATTTCAAAACAGATTATTTTTTAAAAACACAACGGAAAGGATAGATGGTTTCGGTGCCAACGTTACGGGATGAAATTTCTCTAAAAAATTTGAGCCAAAATTTGTGGTGTGGAAGAAACATTTTGGGGTAAGTGTTTCTCCTTTAATATAGTTTATTATTTAAACGATACTAACCCTATTACGTCATTAAGATTTCTTCAGAAACCCCTTTCTAGTCTTTCGTTAAATTTACAGGGTATGTTTGGTTATCTGTTCTTCCTGTTTAGTTTTCATTTACAGCTGACCGTAAAGATTAAATTTGTGATCCTACTCAATGAAACTAGCAGTTAATTCCAAAGAAATTTATTGTTTTATGTACTGACATAAATTTACTTACAACATATATAAGCAATCAAAATTTCATACATTTCCATGTTTAAAAAAGTATATAATAGATAGTACACATTTTGTGTTCCAACTTACATAACAAAAAGAACTCGCAACAGTCTTAGAAGATAGAAGAAATAATGCAAAACGTTTTGAACATGTAACATTACATTTTGTTAAAAGTTTGCACTTAATAATTTCATTTAGAATAATTCCCTCCATGTAAAAATATTGCAACACCCAATAAATAGTTTTGTTATTATATTTCATAAATCACAAGTCTATATAAATGTGCATGTAATAACCAATAAAAACGTCCCTTACGAGTAGACACGGAAATAAAAAAATAGACAATTTATAATATCACTGGAAAACACAATAGTGAGCAACGAAACAAGATAAAAAGAAATGAGATAAGTTAAATTTTATTAAGATAAGATTTACTGCCATATATTTGTGGCCAGTGTGGGCGCAGCGTTAGCAGAAGTTTGGTTGTTTAAGCTTAAATTACTGAACTGTTGTTGCAAACCGTTTTGATTAGCGAAGAACGGGTTTGGCGTTTGCGCTGCGTTGAACCCTTGCGGAAACTGTCCGAACTGCCCCCCTACTGGAAACTGACTGTTATTCGGAAAATTACCGAACTGGCCGGGCCCGTTTTGAAACTGATTGGCCACGGGAAACTGATTTACCGGCGCGGCCGGCATCTGACCCTGAACGGGGAACTGCGATTGGCTGCCCCATTGGGCGAACTGACCGACGGGCTGAGCCACCGCGAAACCCTGCTGCTGCACCTGCGGGAACCCCCCGAAATTCTGAAAATTCTGTGCTGGAAAATTCCCCTGATAAGGCATCTGGCTTTGGAACTGGTTAAAATTATTGGTTGGCGTGTTGCTATAAAGTGCTAAAATACTATCTTTCGTCAACTTCACTTTCTCCTTCTCTGTGGGGACGATCTGGTTGAAGAAGCTTTCCTCCTCGCTCTTTGCCGACTTCTCTTCGTCTTTCTTCGGTTCTTCGTTGGCCGCGGGGGCCGATAAGAACCCGCTGAAGTTGTCTTCGCCGTTTTGTAAACCTAACAAGTCATTTTCTTTTTTAGTTTCTGGCGTGCTTGTCACACGGCCTGGTTTGGGGCTCGGGTTTTTGGGTTTGGGCAACTGGGGCACTTCTACGTTGGCTAAGGGTTTCTTTTCAACGACTGTTTTCTTTTTTCGCTTTTGCTTCTCGATTTCTTCGTCAATTTCCTTCTCCCAGTTGACTTTTGGCAAGGTTGGGGGCACCCATTCTCTAGCTATGTATTTTTTGTGTTCATATTTTGCTCTGATGAACGATTCGAGGCTTGAATCGTTCTGAGGTCGCCGGAAATTATCTGGTAGGTTAGCTTCATATACTGCCCGTGCTCGAGAATTACCCATTTGTTGCAATGAAACGACCTGTTCGGGGGTCCACGTGTCCAAATTCACGGACTTGACTTTTGAGATGTGAACTCCCAAGTTTCGATGAATACCAGCACATCTTATACACAAAAATACTCCTATGTTCCAGGAAGCCCATCTGGGACCTGCAATGAAATCCGATATCTGACAAACACACAATTATCATTCAGTTATGCGGGTCTGTTTAATGCGATTCCAATATGAAAACAGACTGTTTTATCTCTATTATTAGAACTGAAGGCAACAAAGATAACGCCGATCTTATAGGCGCAATGAAAATTTTTATGATTCACAAAAGCTAAAGATACATGTGGGTGAGTTTGATGCCACGTTGATCGATAGTGTTGGTGATCAATTGATCTTTTTAATTAAATGTTTTACGAGAAACACTACTTAAACATACCTTTTGAGTCGCAATCCACGCAATATTTGTTATCTTCGTCCCGCAGAAGACCGTTCAGAACTGACTGACATTTATCTTGTAATTGCTTTGTTTTGTCTTTTTCTGTTTTCGTACTCATTTCTATTAAATTTATTTATAAAAAATCTATAATATTAAACCGATTCGTAAATGACAACGCGGGTGGTTGCCATTTACAAACGTCAGTAACGTCATTGAACTGCTTGCGCGTGCGCACCACAACTGTCACTCCTGTCAAATGCACATTCGATTATTTCGCGGGCGGCAAATTTGAAAAACCGTATCCTAAGTGTTCCTCAGTTAAACGAATCTCATTAACACGAAATTAGCGTAGTTAAGTGGAATTTCATCAAAGTGCGTAACCATGATGAAATAATTTGGTAAAAGAGTAATCGTTTGGGTGTTTTCTCGTAAAGTGGATTTAATGCCCTTTGTGGCGCCTTGGCATCCTTTTGAAGAATAAAAAGGATTTAATAAGGGCACGTCCCAGAGGAGCGTCGTAAAAATACATTTACCACAATCTCGGTTTTATGTATTTAGTTTCGACGACGACAAAGATATTTCATTTGCCCTGTATTTGTCAAGTTAAGAGCATTAAACTGATCTGCACCTTTGAAGAGTGTCCGGTCGAGTCGGTTTCTATTCAAAGACGCATTGTTCCTTTGTGGATGAGAAAATGTAACTTTTGATGTATATTTGCATAAAGAAAAACCGATAAAGATGTTTGGATTAGCTACATTTTGCGGTTTATTTAAATAAAAAATACAAAAAGTAAACACAAACACCAAAAGTGCTTTGTAAAGATTTCTTGGGAAAACCTTTTTGATATTAACAGCGATAAATTTAGTAAATCGATTCCTTTGTGTGTATTTTTCTCGTATACCTAATTCATACAATTAACATTTAAAAGACTTTCTTTTAGAAAGTTGGGAAGAGTTAATTCCTTGTGTTAATTTATAAGAACTAATAAGAGTTTTACTCTAAAATTAATCTAATTTCGTTTATTTTGTCGTTACGTAAACATTAATGTGAATAAATCCAATTATTTTTTTTCCTCTGAGATATCAAACCATTGAATTAATTTAAAAAGCTGTCAAGCCTTATTTTCTTTTCGTTATGTTTGATTGAAGATTTTTTAAAGTAGACCTCAAGCTATATATTATTGGAACTTATACAAACAAGAGTGGGAGCTTAATGGTTTCTACAGAAAATAAATAAAATAATCTCATCGGTGACATATGGACTTCTATTCATAAACAAAATACAATGCCATTTTGGTAATTTGAGTTATAATGTTTATTTCAATTGGCACCTTGGTGCCAGAAACCATTTAACACTTACTTTGTGTAGGTATTCATGCTTGGTATGAGTTGTTCTTAAAAAAACACTCATATTATCTGTCAGATATTTGAATCTTTATATAAAATGAATTATTGTAATAATAATAAGTTATGACTAAATGGATTAATTTCTTTTTCTTCATTATTATCTATTTATTTTTTTAGTGCCAGGTCTCAGATCCTGAATTGGTTAGATATCGCTGTGACGTCATCTGCAGGTAATTCGTTTGTATTTATACATATTTTCTTGAAGTCGACTTTGGGAGCGTTTCTGTTTCTTTAAACTGAAATTTTTGTAAAATTGACGACTCAGGGGAGATAATTAAAAATCGTCTAGGTACATACTCTTTATTGAATCGAACATTCTCTGTTTAAATTTAATAATTAATTGAATATTATGACAACAACTCTAGCAAATATCCATTCTATAATAAATAATGTTTTGGTTCATTTGGCTTGCACCGTTGTGCCAAAGATATGTAACATACTAACCTACAATAAAGTAATAAAAAAATATAATTTAAAACAATAAATTAATTAATTAAAACCGAAGTTGGTAAAACCCACACCTATAAACTATTTCAAAGGAAACACGTGTAAACACGGTTCCTAAATGAAATTACATCTCTGAGGGTAAGGTAATATAATTATCGGGTATATGTTAATTAAGTAGGATTTTGTTGCCGTAAAACACTTGTTTACAATAAAGTGGTCTCTAAAACACTCACAATTGAATTATATTAACTCCTGGACTTACATTTTAGTACATCTGGGGATGTAAAAATTTCATTACATTTACAACTAGGTACATCACAAAACGTATGCATTTTGTAAAAAAATATATAATAAGCTTGAAATCATCGTTGAGGTTTTACTAAAATTACAAGACTCCGAAAATAATTCCGTGAATTTCTATTGGAAGCCCTATATGAAACATGAAAACGGGATGATTTTTGGTAAGAACGAGAAAACTATGAAACAAACAACACATGGATACAACTTTACGGTTACTAAATCCACCAAGCTCCGACAATTCGAGGCGTTCTTGAAACGGCTGATTCAGCCGGAGATTTTAGACGAAGGTTCGCTTTCTCAGTCACGTAATCGACACTGTTGGAATACTTAAATTCAGTACGGCCCTGTATTTATTTGTATCCGCAAACGCGGACTTTCCCGGAAGCGAAAAATGGCGCAACAATCAGCGATGCACAACACGGCTTTATCTACATGTGGAACTAATTTAAAGGCAAGAAGCGTAGCGATATTGTGAAATATGTCATAGTGGTTAGATGCATCCTGAATGTATAGGCAACACACAGTACGTTTAAATTGTTTCAAGTTTGAGTGTCCCTACAAGACAGCGCTTTTCCAAAAAAAAGTTAAAGAGGTGTTGCTAGTTGCCTATACAGCCGGGGTTCATCTTGGTAGAATTTTGAAAATGCGTTTGATTTTTGAAATTATTGAACTCCTACTACGTTAAATTACGTTAATCAGGTGCCTTTAAACTAGTTCCAAACTGCTGTTTACTATATCTGGTCCCGTTCAGCTCGAATTGTCGCCACTTGATGACATTAAAATAAAATATATAAACTCTTAACTATTTGGAAGTAATATCTAAACACATTAGATTGTAAAATAATCGAGTATTGGCTCTTCGCTTTTACCTTTTGATATTTGTCTAATGGGAGGAATCAAATTATAGCAAAAGGTCTACAGGTGTCACTACGACTATCTACCTCCATACAAAATTCGTGTTTTTGATTAATTTTTCTACGTGTACAAAACCTATTAGGGGATGTATTGGTATATTTAAAAGCTCATTACTTGTACGAAGCTAGAAGGAATTTGGCGTAATCTAAAAGAGATCACAGTATGCTAGAGAGCGAAAAACCGGAAGAATTGTGTACGAAAAACTCTGCTATTAGAAAGAATAATACTTTTAAATATACCTTTACCTACAGTACACATTCAGAATATTTACTACCATATGGTTCCATTCTTCAGCCTTTTGAATTAATTCTTGTGTGTATAATTTGAATTCCCATTTTACTATCGTGGTCTTTTTAAATCACTTTTTACACAGTTGAATTTAATAACTAACATGACTAGACTATATCGACATACAGCCGTCTCGAATCTGGCCCCCACAACAGTATACCATTTTCAGACGGAATGGACATTAGATACGAAGGTGGGCGGTAGATTCGGTACACCCGTATACTATATAACAGCGTAACTTACAACATTATAATAATTAAGGTTGACGTAGTCTTTGTAGGCTATGTTATTGAACACTCGCATACTCTAAGGCTAATTCAGACTATAATCTAGTTCAAGTTTATTCCAATATAATTCAAAGTGCGTAATCATGTCCTCTTAAAAAAATCTGCTTCTATGATGCAAAATAAATATATCTCCTTTTGTACTAGGATCATTGTAAAACTGACTCAATAAAAATATAATCTAGTACAATGGCAGGCCTGTCGTTAAGGCAAAAATCAAGTCTATACTTTAGCCATAAGATGGCGATCACTAAATCGATAAGCAGAAATTGAGTTGTGTGAAGTGGACTAATCACCATCTAAATTAAACGCATCGACCAATCAAACGGCTCCAATCGTACGCACGTGACGTTGTAATTTGAGGTTATGTTATTGCATTATTGCATGGATTGGAACCGTGCGATTCGCGGACGCCTTTAAATAATTTAAGTACATTTGATTTTTAGAAGCCTTAGATTAAGTATGACGTAACCACAACCACGGTGACTAGTGCTGGATTTGTAAACAGAACGCTGATTCGTTGTAGTAGTTTACCAAGAACTCGAGGATCAGGATAGTCATTGAAGAACTCCGCGCACACGTCCTAGAATCCTTTAATGACGTGATAAACTTCCAGCGTAGACATGGTGAGGTAAAATAACCACAGAACGAGGAAAAAAGCCGCCGTTAGGACCTTGAGGCACTTTGGTCCTCCCAACTCGCCGCCGACAATCCGCGATCGACGCAACATTAGAACTAGGATGCAGACCGCCGCCTCCGAGCAGAATATCGTCACGGAGAAGGCTAAACTGTAAAGGGGGGTTGTTAGCGTTGTGGCTAAGGTGGTGAAAGTGGTAAGGGAAGACAACTTAAAAAAGGTGAAGAATCGATCTCAAGTAACGCTCATTGAACAGCAGGAAAAAGGCGCAATCGTGTTATTTTTATACGCGTCAAAAATATTTATTAAAAATTTTGAAAACAGTAGATATCATCAAAAAATTTAAAAAATACGCCTTGAAAATCTTTCGAGATATTTAAATAACTGTCGATTTTTTATTTTCTGAACGACTAGCTACATGACCCCAAGAGTACGAAAAAATAGGTCCTTCGATTATCTCCGAAACTACTGGACCGATTGTTGTCAAATTTTATGTATATGTGTATTAGGAATATCGTGTATATGGTAAATCGGTATTTAAAACTTGGATAAACATCCCCACCAACAATACAATGACGTCATCTTCAAAATTTACATTAGTAAATATTATTCCAATTTTATAAAATAAGATAATATTTCACATGTGGTTTATGAATCCGTGTTTACCCTGGACATTCAGGTTTTTGGAAAAAAGATCAAAATTATTTAACATTTTGCAATTTAATTTTGAAACTGCAAAATCGAATGTTCTAAAATTTTGCAAACGTTTTAAGGTTATCACACTCATGGTAAATCGTTAATCAAAATTTATTAATTTACCCGCTTCTAAAAAAATTGATGACGTTATCTAAAAAACCTTTATGAAATATGCAAAATATAACTCCATATTTGTGGACCAACTTTTTGATATCATAATTTTTCGTTCTTTTATTTTCTTTATTTTTTTAATTTTTCCATTTTTCAATGTTTCGCTTTCATAATTTTTCGTTTTATCAACTTTAATTGTTTCGATTTTTCAATTTGTCAATTTCCATATTTTTCAATTTTTAATTTTTCTATTTTTCAATTTTTCGTTTCCTCAATTTTTCAAGTTCCCGATTTTTCATTTTCATTTTCCTGATTTTTTATTTTTCATTTTCCCTATTTTTTAATTTTCATTTCCTTGATTTTCATTTTTATGTTTCTTTAATTTTTTTCAATATGTCTTTCGATTTTGTAATCTTTCGTTTATTCAGTTTTTCATATTTCCAATCTTTGATTTTTGGAGTCCCTCAATTTTTTAATTTTTAAAATTTTTAAATTTGCAATTTTTGGATTTCTTAATTATCCGATTTTTCGATCTCTTTAATTTTCAATATTTCGATTTTACAATATTTTTCGTTTTTTTTTGATTTTGGATTTTTTCGATTTTTAAGTTTGTCAGTTTTTAATCTTTCGATTTCTTCAATTTTTCAAGTTCTTGATTTCCAATTTTTATATTTTGCGAACTTTCCATTATATACTTTTTCGGTTTTTTATTTTTGGTTTTTCAACTTTTCAGTTTTACAATTTTTCCAATTTTTTATTCGAAAAGTTGAAAAATCAAAAAATTAAAAATCGAAAAACTGAAAAATCTGAAAAAATTGAATAATCGAAATACCGAAAAAAACTGGAAATTGCAAAATCGAAAAGTGGAAAATCGAAAATTGATTATCGAAGAACAAGAAGCGAAAAAATTGAAACACTAAAAAACTTAAAATCAATCAATCGAAAAATTGGAAAACCCAAAAATTGTGAAATTAAAAAAGTTTAGAATCGTAAAAATTGTAAAATTGAAAAACTAACAATAAAAAATCGAAAAATTGAAACATTGAATAAATGAAAAAGTTTTAGAATCCAATAATCGAAAAATGTAAAAATGCTAAAATCGTAAAATTGGAAAAGTGAAAAATTTTAAAGTTATAATTACATATTACATATTTAGAATGAAAATTACAAAAGTTGCAAATCAAGAACTGAGGAAAAGAAAAATTTAAACATTGAAAAACTAAAAATCGAGGAATTTAAAAATAGGAAAAATCATGACTCGAAAAATTTGGAAAACCCAAAAATTTTAAAAACAAAAAATTGTAGAATCGTCAAAAAATTCGAAAAATTGTAACATTCAAATATAGAAAAATTGAAAAATTAAATATCGAGAAATTTAAAAATTAAAAATCGAAATAACGTATTAAAAATCGAATAAATGAAAAAGTTTTAAAATTTAATAACTGACCGATGGAAAAATTCCAAAATCGTGTAATTGAAAGAGTGAAAAAATTTTTAATTTATAATTACTTATTTAAAAAGAAAACTAGAAAATTGCAAATAAAAAACTGAAGAAACCAAAATTAAAAAATTTAAATTTAAAAAATCTAAAAGTTGGAAAAACTGAAAAATGAAAAACCTATAAATTGCAAATTGAAAAATTTTAAAATTCAGAAGTTGAGAAATTTGACATTGAAAAAAGAAAAATTATAAAACCAAATGCTGAAAAATTGAAACACTAAAGAAAAAAAAGAAGAATATAAAAACCGAAACGAAAAATTGTAAATCGAAAATTTAAAGAAATGAAAAATTGTAAAATTAAAAATTCCAAAACTCAAATCAATTTCAAAATTTAAAAATTGAAACATCTAAAAGTTGGCAAATCAAAAAACTAAAAAGACGGATCAAAAAAATGAATAATATGATAAATTGCATATCGACAAATTGAACAAACGAAAAATTGAAAAAAGTGATATTGAAAAACAAGAAATTGTAAATTCGGAACATTGAAAAATCTAAAAATTGTAAAAATAAAAAGAATAAAAAACCGAAACGAAACATTGCAAATCGGAAATTTGAAGAAACGAACATTCAAAAAATCGAAAAATTAAAAAATTGAAAAATTCAAAAGTTGGAAAATTGAAAAACAAGCATTTAAACTTGAAAGCTGGAAAAATTGTGAAATCGAAAAACTGAATAAACAAAAAAAATGAAAAATTGAAAAAAATGAAAGAACCAAAAAGCGCATTTTTGTTTTAATTTTTCAAAGAAGGCGAATTTGTTGGGTTGTACTTCAGGTGCGAGGGAAGTTCTGTCGACCAATTTTTTCAAGAAATGTTACTTCTCGTTATTGATAGTACATGTTTTTGGAAAAAAAATTGTACTGAGAAATTTAGCAGCTACTAAAATGTGATGGTCATTTAAAAGTATTCATAGCAAAATAAATTGACCACAAACAAGTTTCAAATTATTTATCCAACTATATAACCCGCGTAAAAATAAGATTTTAACAACACTCTTATTACACAAGCTAAACGAGAAAATCGTTTTGGTGGAAAAAAGTCCCTGCCAAACGCAGGTTTTAACCAGATGAAATCGTTTGATATTTCAGTCACAGATTTGCCTTTTTCCTGCTTCTCTATTTCGTGGTGGAAGTAAGGTGGCGATTGCGACCTCCTCAACTCATTCGTGCCAAGGTTTACACACCATTTTACAAATAAACAAACTGCTTCCCTCATCGCTTCCTTTTCAACCCTTAACTTACTTCCCCGGTTTTACCCGGAACGGTTTTCTTTTCGTGGCGTGGTAAATCGCCGCCATTGACCAGGCCACTCCGATACCAAGGAACACGTTCACGGCATTACTTCCTGTTACATTTCCTATACTGGCATCGGCATGCTTATCATGGATGGCGGCTACTTTGCTGGCGAATGTGTCTGGAACAGATAACCCACTGCTTGGAATTCTCGATGTTACAACACCGTGTCAAAAAGATCAAATCAGGATATCGCGGTCGCAAAGAAAACGATTGCCGGGAATTGACGTCCCTTCATTACGCCCGGGATCTAATTATTTCCCGGTATAAAGGGGAGAACGTCATAAAATCCAAACAGCTGCACTTTTGTTCCATAGCCCTCCGCAAACACCTAATCCATTATGAACGAGGCCAAGACGTGATGTGATGTTTCAAACCGGGTGACTATTGAACGTACATTCTCAAAGGAAGATGGAAGTATATTAAACGGAATAAATTGTGTGTGGAGGAGTGGAAGACATGCACACGAATTATTTCCTCTTGGTGTACCTATAGGGAGATGAAAATAAACGTTGGGGAATTTCAAATTGAAAATGTCAACGTTGAGAGATCTATAAGCATAAAATTAAATTTCATAAGAGTCTTCCGAACTCTATCGTTTAATGAGATGCCGGGAAATAGGCTCCGAAATTGAAAAAAAGTCGAATGATTATCCCAGGCCATGTTAACCTTATCATTTAATAAAGTATTTCACATTCGTAGCAAGGATTCCAACCGGAAAAAGGTTAAAGGATTGCATTATTCATTCCGTGGATCGATTACCGACTTTTAGTTTGCCGTTAAAGGAGCATTGTGACATGCACCTGATTATCATAATGATAGATAGTTGACTATAACTTCCAGATAGTTTACACCAAAAGGAAAACATGATCGCTTTAGTTTCACAGTTACACCGTTATACGTAATGGCAGCTTTATTGCTCATCTCAAGCTTGCGAGATGATTGCCCATTAAAACTTGTTTTTGTTATCTTTGATAAATCATCATTGGGTAGAGAGGGTTTAGAGCACTCTTACCATTACCACTTGGGAAGTTTTGAGGTGTTTCCAGAACAATAATAATTTTAGAATTCAACGACAGTTGTTGGCTTATCCATATTGTCTGCAAACAGTAAGACTATTCAGCAAATAACCTAGAGTGCAACTGTTACACTAGTCAGAAATCTGTTTAATGTTGGTATTAGTTCGATTTACGGCTTTGTTTGACGACACACATGCACCAGTTAGCATAGCTGTAAAGTGCATATTTTATAAGTTTACGTTCGTAGAAAGATCTATTGATACGCGAAGGACAAAGCTGTAATATCACGTATGGTACAAATTGGGACACGTTTCGCTAACGAAACTGCTATCATCAGAACGCTCGTGAGAGAAAATGTTTAGTATCGATTTTATGCATTTTTTTAGATTACTGGATCTGGAGGAGCAAAAAATCAACTAAAAGTATCGCAAAAAACAGAAGAGTTGATAATGTTACAACCTATCGCAGCGGAAATGTGGAGGACGAAAAAGTTATGCGGCAAGACGTGTGAAAAGTACAAATTTAAGCACTACAGCGGAAGCCGCACAAAGAATAAGAATGAATAGGTAATGAAATTGTCAGACATACAAATTTAATAACATGACAAAGAGAAGTGCTAATAAACGTGTGAAAGTAGTTACAAATCATATTTTTCTATATATGGAGAAAACAGAATTTTCTAGAGGATGTACCGTTGATAACAAAAATGTAATTTGGTTTATGCACGATGGTGCACCAGCACATTTTAGTATGGTCACTCATGAGTTTTTAAACGCAACATATGAAGTTCGCTGATTGGTCGAGGTTGACCTCACTCATGGCCTGCTCGATCCCCAGACTCACATCACTTGGATTTTTATTTATGGGACCATATGAAAACATTAATGTACACTATTCCATTGGAACATGAAGAGGATTTCAGAAATGGGCGAATCGAGGAAAACAATCCTAGTATTTCAGTAGTTTTTGTAGATTAGGAATTTTTATGTTTAAAATGAATTAATAAAGCATTATTTTTCGGAAAGCTTTTATCGATCTGTATCTTCAAAACGAAAGCTTCTTTTCGAAAATAATCCAAGGATAAAAAATTTTAAAATAACCCAAGTAATAGCCTCCTGAATTTGTTCCGCATGTTGAGTAAACACCTGTATATCTCAAATGAATTGATTGCATGGATAAACTACGATATATCGTAGTATCAAAATTTGATGTATGGTTACTTTTGTATTATTAAAAACAATATACAGGGTGATGAAAAAATGACGTATTTACTCTGCAGAACTCGAAAAAAAAAATCTGAACCAATTTCTATTTCTCGAGTGTAAGAGTAGAGAGTGTAGTAATCGAGTCCGTCGGCCGACTCTCTAGTTTTACGTTTTCTCGACCTTTCATGACCCCTAGAGTACGATGAAATAGGTCTCCCGTTTCCGTCTGTCCGTCTGTCTGCCGTCTTTCGGACTTTTTATTAGGGAGATAATCCCCGAAACTACTGGAACGATTGCTGTCAAGTTTTGCATGTATGTTAGGAATATCATGTAGACGTTCAAACGCTAACCAAAATTTTTCTAATCATCGCCACCAATAACGTGATGACATCCCCTCCAAATTTTTCATAATAAGTAAGGTTTAAATTTTGTAAAATAATATACTTGCGTAAAATAAATTTCGACCATTTTTACTTCCCGAGCGTAAGCAAAGGAAGTATTGTAATCGAGTCCGTCGGCCGACTCTCTACTTTTAAGTTTTCTCGATCTTTCATGACCCCTAGAAGACGAAGAAATAGGTCTCCCATTTCCGTCTGTCTGTCCGTTTGTCCGTCTGTCCGTCTGTCCGTCTGTCCGCCGTCCCGGATTTTTATTAGACAGATAATCTCCGAAAGTACTGGACCGATTGTTGTGAAATTTTGTACTTATATTAGGAATATCATGCAGATGGTAAAACGCTAACCAAAATTTGTATAATCGTCCCCAACACTAATGTGATGACGTCACTTCAAAATTGTACATAGTAAATGGGTTTTAAATTGTATAAAATAACATAGTCCTACACATGTAGTTTACGACTCCAAATTGAGTTTTTACCCGAGACGTCCAGATTTTTGGAAAAAAAATCAAAATTATAAAACAGCATTTTGCAATTTAATTTTGAATCTGCTAACTCGAATGTTTTGAAATGTTGCAGATGTTTTAAAGCTATAAAGAGCATCATAAATCTTTAGTCAAAATATATTTGCTTATCCCCTCCAAAAAATTGATGACGTCAGCTCGAAAGTTTGCCGAATAAATCCTATCTAAACTGTACAAAATATGATGAGTCTGTACTTGTGATTTATCACTCCATTCATATTTTTTGGATTTGCATATACAGGTGACTCAAAAAAATTAATGAATTCGTAAATTTATTTTATTGATTTACTCAGGAACTACAAAACGGAACGCTTTGAAATCTTGAAAATGTTTTAAACTTATCATAAGCATGGTAAGTTTTTGATCAAAATGTATTTGCTCATCCCCCTAAAAATTTATGACGTCACCACAAAATTTTGCTGAATAAATCCTATCTAAAACGTACAAAATATGATGAGTCTCTTCTTGTGATTTAACTTTCCATTAATATTTTTTTGGATTTGCATATACAGGGTGGCCCAAAAAAATTAATGAATGCGTAAATGTATTTTATTGATTTAATCAGGAACTACAGAACGGAATGTTTTGGAATCTTGCAGATGTTTTAAGGTTATAAAGAGCATAATAAATCTTTAGTCAAAATATATTTGCTTATCCCCTCCAAAAAATTGATGACGTCAGCTCAAAAGTTTGCCGAATAAATCCTTTCTATAATGTACAAAATATGATGGGTCTGTACTTGTAATTTATCATTCCATTCATATTTTTTGAATTTACATATACCGGATGACTCAAAAAAATAATGAATGCGTGAATTTATTTTATTGGTTTACTCAGGAAGTCGTCACGTTTCCGACAGCGAGGGAAGTACTGTCTAAACTCTTTAGACCAATTTTTTTTTAATATTAAACTTTAAACTTGAAGAATTAACTTCGCAATTCTGATGTGTTTTAATATGAATTTAATTGATAATCTAAAATTCCATTAAAAATTGTCAAAAATGAAATCTGTCAACAGTAAAAAATGACGTGAAACGTATTTTAGCAAATTATTATTAAATTGTCAATAACTAATTGTTTAAATGTCTATTAGACATTTAAACAATTAATTCATTGTCCATTAAAACAAATCAGAATTACGAAGTTAATTCTTTAGCTTTGACGTTCAATATTTTAAAAATTTTGGTGCAGGGATTTTTTTAACCACTTTTTCAAGTTTATCAAATCCTTCTTAACAACGTACCATCGAGCACATGCGTCATTTTTTCATCACCCTGTATTTTAACACAAAAATAAATAAATAAATAAATAAAAAGAGATTCAGAAGATTTTGTTCAGACAATGTTAAATCTGTTTTTATATCCTTGCTGAAAATTGCAGTCAACTGTTTAGTGCTCCTAATGGAGCTTTTTCCTTCTCATATTCTCACTGTAGTACTTTGTAATCATTATATTCAAGTACTATATGATCGAAAAAAAGACTCCTCTTGTGGGCCGTGCAATTTATTTTTAAAATAATGACGTTGGCAACACCAACGCGTTCCTTGTTCGGTTTGATAATTACGGTTAAATAACTGTCAAATAAAGACTCCAATATTTGAATTAACAATAAATTGTACGACCTACTCGTACTAGAGGAGTAGAGTACAAAGTAAAAATTTGTCCTGTGTAATTTCCTCCATCTGATTTAATAATTAAATTTTGAGAATACAGAAAGAAACTTTATATATATATTTGATTGTGTTTCATATACCTAGGTATACGAGGATGGGATGATTAATTTCCGGCCTCACTTAGATAGAGCCAAAATTTTTACAAATACGCAGTGGTTTTATGGAATTTAATGTTTTTTTGGTTACACTTACAAACGTCATAAAGTTTCATAAAAGAGTTTGATTTTGACGATTTTTTAAATTTCGTGTGTTGCCCCCTTTTTCCGAAATGGATAAAATCGAAATACGTGCGGTGATTAAATATTTTTTTATAAAAGATCTAAGTCCAACACAAATAAAAGAAGCGCTAAATTCCACTTTGTTGGAATCTGCTCCATGGTTTAGTACTATTAAATCGTGGGTTGCGGACTTTAAACGTGGTCGTACCAGCACAAAAGATGCACCACCTTCAGACCAGCCGAAAACTGCCACTTCCGAAGAAATTGTTAAAAAAATCCGTAAGATCGTATTAAATGACAGACGATTGAAATTGGGGGAAATAGCAGAGACTGTGAGGATTTCAAAAGAACGGGTGCATCATATATTGCGAGAAATTTTGAACATGAGAAAGCTATCGGCAAGATGGGTGCCGCGGTTATTGATATTGCAGCAAAAGTTGGAACGTGTCTCAGTTTATGAGCAATATTTGGCGCTATTTAAGCGAAATGAAACGGATTTTTCCGTAGGTTTGTAACGTTAGACGAAACATGGATCCATTATTATACACCAGAGACAAAACAACAGTCCAAGCAATGAACCGCAAGAGGAGAACCAACCCCAAGGAAGGCGAAAACAGAAAAATCGGCAGGAAAGGTTATGGCAACCGTATTCTGGGACGCAAAAGGAATTCATTTGATCGATTACTTGTAAAAACGTAGAACAATAAGTGGAGAATACAATGCAAACTTTCTTGATCAGCTAAAAGAAAAAATTCAAGAAAAACGACCGGAACTTGTGAAAAAGAAAATCTTATTTCGCACCCTGTCACAATTCCGTAATTTCGATGAGTAAAATTTACGAGTTAAGCTAGGAATTGCTAACTCATGCACCATATTCGCCGGATTTAGCCCCATCTGACTTCTGTCTGTTTCCAAATAAAAAAAAAAATTATGCTGGCCACAAATATGCAACAAATTCGGAGGCCATTGAGGCTACCAACGGCTATTTTGAGAGGTTAGAAGAATCAGCGTACAGAAATGGGATAAAAGCACTTGAACACCGCTGGACTAAGTGCCAACAAGTCGAAGGGGACTACATCGAAAAATGAAATACACTTTTGCATAGTATTCATAGTATTCTTTTCAAATTCGTTCTGTCATTGCTCTCATCTGTAGACTATCTGTCATTAATCAAAATTCCGGTCTAACCTCAAACTGTTGTTAGACGGCATAGGTTCAGAAAATGTTTGAGCATCGAAAAGTAACTGTAGGTGTATTTTGTTTGATCACTCGTTATCTGTAGACACTGATCATGATTTAAATGACTTAGATGATGATTTTTCCTCAATAATATACGAGTAGCTTTTGATCAATGTCAACAGATCAGTTATATTTGAAGCTTATTTTTTTTTTTTGGTGTCATATGCAGTTTCGTGTAGCTGTAACTGTAATAATTTCTAAAGGTTTTTGTATATTAAAGGCATTACGACATCTTGTCTTTTTTCTTGTCCCTGTTCTTGTATATTTTCTTTTTTACTAATTTCTTTGACCACTACCTATTCCTCCCACTCCTCCCAGTAATTGTTACAAGTCTGATCATCATTCTCATTTGATGACTTTTTCCAAGACAGTTTGATCCGTTTCGTGCAAATCTCAATGTTCTTCGGAAACACCTAATAAGACGATGACGATACATGTCGGCTTCATTCCTTTGTTATTCTTTTTGTGCATCCTCCTAAATATAGATGGTTTTCAATTTCTTCTCTTGACGAACATAAATTGAATTTTGGTAATTTCCTCTTAGCTTATCTCGTTCTCTTCTATTTTTATTGCTTTTTACTTCCCGAGCGTAAGCTAAGGAAGTATAGTAATCGAGTCCATCGGACCAATTGCCACTTTTATGTTTTCTCGACGTTTCATGACCCCTACAGTACGACAAAAGTAGTCGCTCGTTTCCATCTATCTGTCTGTATCCATTTTTATTAGACACGTAAGTTCCGATTGTTGTCAAATTTTGTATTTTAAAATGATTTTACTGTTATACAAAAATACACTTCTCTGCTTGTAGTATACGAATCCGCTTTCAGTTTTTTCGCTAAACGTTCAGATTTTTGCAAAAACCATTGCACGGTATCAGAATGTTATATTACACCCACGTAAGAGAACTCCTCGTGGCTCAGTGGGTCAGCAGCTTTGTCGACAAAGCGGCGATATTTGGTTGTGAGTTGGATGCCGAACTTGGCTTAGCCCTTTCCTTTTTTTTGCACTGGTAATGCGTTGTGAGTACTTCTCTTTTGTGCTGTGACTAGTATTATCCATGTTGATGACGTCATCATATATTTTTTATTGGTCAAATTAAGAACGAGTAAGTCAACCCATGTTCTCGAAAATGTGAGAATACGCATGTCTTTATATATATAATAATGTTAAAATAAGAATTATAATATTCAGAACATCTTGTTCGATTGTGGTTTAATTAATAATTTTAGTCCTTTGGGAAGACAAACTCAATCAAATCGGACTAATTTCTACATGACAGTCTTTCAATGTATAAACATAAATAAACGCTTAGGCTTTAAATTGCTATTACCTAGTGCTGAAGAACATTTTATGCCGTTAGTTCTGTACTTTAAATATATTTCTTATTGTCCGTATGTCTGCGGACGGCACCTCTTTGGAATTTAGTCGTAGTAAATATTTACGTAGAAAAGGTAGAAATTTAGACAAAAAAAAGCAAGAGTTATTATAAAATAAGTACGAGGACTTCCGTCTAGGGCAGGAAATAAAACCTGCAATTAGTTTGGAAGGATGTTGAAAATGAGTTTGAAATTATAGCTGAGTTACGCAACAAAATAATGTAACTAGTATGAAAAACAAACATGTGATTTTGTGGTAAGAGGATATAAAGTGAAAATGAATATTAAATGAATGGTAGAAAAAATGCGTGAAATATACGATGCACAGTGTTGTACCATTTTATGGTAAATTGGAATAACGCAGAAATAAGTTTCATTTAACAAAGCCAGAGGAGAAATGTCTTAGTCTTAAACAAGTGAAGTGAACTGCAGTCAGGGATCTTGAGCTTGAGCTTGAGCTGCTACATCGTCTACAAAAAGCGAACATCGATGTAGACACAACGGAAGTTTTATTTATCGACAATGGAAATATGTGACAAGATATTAAAGAACCATAAACCACAATGAAAATTAATGTTAATTAAAAAACGAACTCGAATGGAGTAAAGAAGACACCACGATAATACATACAACATAATTCGAAGATTTTAAACTTCCAGACCCTTTTCCCCCATCTCGCTTAATTTGTATAAGATAAACATTCTAATGAAGTAAAACTCACTACCAATTCAAATGGCCATCTCGAGAAAGTTTTCTTAACAACTTATTAAACTTTGTGTTGTTCTTTACCGTTTTGATTAAAGTGTGAACGAGACTAACGCCTCCACTATTCACTGCCACTTTAACAATATTACTTCGTTGGATACTTAAGGAGCCGGGAAACCTACCCAGAAAACAAATTAGGTACTTACGAAGCGCCATTATTTGCATAAAACCTCTTAAATAACTAATTCATTGAACTTCAAATATTGAAAGAAGCGTTATTAAATACCAGAGTTTCCTATTTAAGCGAACGAAGGATCTTAAGTAGGGATTTTCGCCATTCCGGAGAAAAGCAATTAAGCGCGTTCACCAAATGCGAATGTTGCAATATCCGACTTGATTCCAATCAGCATATCTGATGCATGCAGGAATAATTTCGCTCCACAAATTCGATTTATTTGAAAACTGACACAACGCGTTACAACCGAAGAAAGTCGATAATCAAGTGCGGTAATCAGGTCATCTCCTGAAAGGATTTTTTAGGGTATTTCTCTGATCATTGTGCCCCAGCATGGCACCAAATGTAGCTGCCGCAGTCATTAAGAGTTTAATAGGTTTGGATTAGGTTTCGCAAACACAGATCTTCAGGGACGTTCCACGAAAAAAGTTTGTTTAGGTAAATTGAACCGGATGGGCTCCCAAAAATACAAAAGCGCCTGAATTAGAACGAATACATACGAGGAGTCCCTAGGTGAGTCATCCGTTCGTTAAACGTCGAGCTGAAACAAAGCTTGTAATGTGGAGTTTTGCTGCACTTCCAGAAAGCCTCGCATCATTACGTAGTGATTCAAAGGATTTTACCTAACGGGAATAGTCGATGGAGTGATGAACGAGAAGATGTAAATACAGTAATCAGGAAACTTTTTGGCTTGGAGGAGCGAGATTGATTGTGTGATGTGAACAGGAACAGCGAAGTAGACAACTGAATACTTAATCAAATTAATAAACGTTCTGCGAAGATTCTAGATCGAAGTTGCGTCTTAATTATGCTTACCTGGAATACTCGTTCCGAGGGCGACGAATACTATAGCTGTTACGGAATCCTCGATTCCGAGGGTGAAGCCGAAGTGGGAAGCTACGTCACCGATTACAGCAGTAACTACTCCTATGATGAGGATTGAGACGAAAAAGCAGAGATATCCCTTGCACATATCTAGAATAAGAAAAGGTGCCTTTTATGCTCGAAGATAACTAAGACGGAGTGCAGTGTGTGCAGTCGAGACGAAAATGTACTGTTATATAAATTTTAGATGCCAGGGTGTAATGGCAGATAGTTTGTCCAGAGTTTCCGACGGAATTGACGGCTTCACGGTAGTGAGTTTTATGAAACCTGACTCTTAAAACACATATGTATTATTTTGTGACAGAATTTTAAATAGATTGTATTACAATTAAAAAACAGTAGGTTCTGTTTTACCTACTTTTACTACCTACTACATTTATTTATTTATTTATTTATTTACTTACTTACTTAGTTTGATTTTTAGAAATTTTCACCCATTTTGTTCCTATTTATTATATTAAGATATTATGATACTATGATGTCGAGAATTCCATAAGAAAATTTTATTGAGGACATCAAAGAAAAATTATAAACTAAAATATGGTTAAAAAAACATTTTACTATTAAAAATGAGGAGTTTGCATGAAGTCTTGTGTCCGAATGAAGCGTAGTTTCACCTCCTTGACTGTATGTTGTTATTATCGGTTCTTCACTTAACAACTTTTTTAATTTCGCCAACGCTTGCCACTCTTTCGCTTCCAATCAAAACTTTGTATCCTTTTTGAACATCTTAGTCAGACTCAGCAATTAAAGAACACAATGAAATAAGTAAGTTTTCTAAAGTACCCTGTAAGTTTCAAGAAACTTTGAATTTGTTTGAACGTCTTCGCCTCGGGAAAATTTGTGACTGCTGCTAGTTTTGTCAACCAGATATTCTCAAAATGTTTGATTGTGCAAGAAGTGATTTTTTTTGTTTTTTGGTATTATTAAAGCTTCTGTATCTGTTATATATATTTACTTGTGTTGATAGTGAACGAAACATACTCTGATCACAACTGGTCAGATAAAATACAAAGAATATGCGTGAAACATATAGATTGTTATAAATTTCAAATTTACTTTTCTCTTGAAAAAATCATTTTAAAATAAATTGTGTCCAAGGGTTTGTTTTCACATTTACAAACTTTCGATTGTGTTGATTTTTGTTCCCAGAATTTTTCATAATCTCAGTTTTTTAGTACTCCGAGTTTTTCGAAAATCTTAATCCAGAACCATCATCAAGTTATGCTTTTAGAATTAGTTCGTCGAAAAGTATTTCTCAAATTTTTTTAGAATTTTTCAAAAATCTGAATTTTTTAATACTTGCGTATGAATTTTTTGACGGTTTATCGAACTTTCGAAATACCGCGTGGTGATTAATATCTGTGATTTTTTTGTCAGGTTGGCAACATATTTAAAATTCTATGATGGCATACCTGATCTAAAATTGAAATTTTGAGCACCAATTCAGTACCTGGTATCTTCACACTGGTTTTTTACACGAGTTCATGTCAAAATTTACAACTATGAATTGACATGCCAACATTGCTGCCACCCAGAAATACCAATCCAAAAATTTGCTTCAATCATTAATAATCATCCGATATTAAAAAAAATCATTTTCAAACGAATTTTTCTAAAATATTGGCCCGAGGCCATCAACAGGTTATGATTTTTGAATCAGCTCGTCAACAAGAATTTCCCAGAATTTTTTGAGGGTTTTAGGCAACCTTTAAAATTTAAATTTTTCAAAATTGGATTTTTTGACTGTTTTTGAGCACTCTCCGAAAACTGCCCAAAGACATTTTCTTGTACAAGTTATTTCCGATTTCATTTTTTCGAAAATTCCAACCATTTTTCCTGAATAATTAAAAAAAATTACCATTTTCGAGATATTTAAAAAAATACATTTCAAACCAAATTTTATCAAATTTTTCTAAAATATTGGTCTGGTACCATCAACAAGTTATTTTTTTCGTCAAAATGGATATCCCCGAATTTTTTTCCGTATAATTTTTGACTGTTTTTCGAACCTTCGAGATACTTATTTACAAATTTCAATTTTAACCGAATTGTTGAAATTTTTTTTTAGTTTAATTTAGGCAACTTTCAAAAAATCTCATTTCTTCAATACTCATCGTATGAATTTCTTGACTGACCGTTTTTTGAGCACTCTTCGAACATTATTGAAAGACATTTTCTTGTAGATTTCGACTTGTAAAACTTCTCTCTCTTTTCGTCTTGATTTTTCTTTGAAGTTACAATTTTCGCAGAATCGTTAAAATGAAAACTGATAATTTTTGAGATATTAAAAAAATTTCATTTTCAAACCGAATTTTACCGAATTTTTCGAAAATCTTGTTCCAGGACCATCAGCAAGTTATGTTTTTAGAATCAGCTTGTCAAAAATATTTCCCAGAAGGATTTTTAATTAAGTCAATTTTCAAAACTATCAGTGTTTCAACTTTTCGAAAATCTTATTTCGGGACCACAACACGTAACGTTTTCCGAATTAGCTCTCCGAGATGTAATGCCAGCATTTTTTTGAGGATTTTTAGGCCAAATTTTCAAAAATTTCAATTTACCAGTTGTATGAATTTCTTGACCGACCATTTTTCCAGGACTCTTCGAAAATTGCCCAAAGACATTTTCTTGTAGATTTCGACTTGTAGATGTTACTTTTGGCTTCATTTTTTCAAAAATTCGAACAATTTTTCCACATTCGTTAAAATGAAAACTATCAATTTTCCAGATATTTAAAAAAAATATTTTCGAACCGAATTTTAACCGAATTTTTGGAAAACCTTGGTCTAAATTATGTTTTTCGAATCAGTTCGTCGAAATTTATATCCTAGAATGATTCGAGCATTTTTTGGCAACTTTTCAATTTCAAAAATATCAATTTTTCAATATCTTCCCTGCATAAATTTCTTGAGCGTTTTTTAGAAAATTCTAGGCCGAAACCAACAACAAATTATGTTTTTCGAATCAGCTCGTCGAAAAGTATTTTCCAAAGTTTATTTTGAGAATTTTTAGCAACGTTTCAAAAATCAGAACCTCATCATATGAATTTAAGAAATCATTTTCAACCAAATTTTTCGAAAATCTTGGGCCGGGACCATCAACAAGTTGTATTTTTCGAATCAGCTTTTCGAAATGCGTTTCCCAGAACTCTTTGAAGATTTTCAAGCAAATTTTCAAAAACCTTAATTTTTCTTTTTTTTATTATGTGCCGTTTATCGAGCACCCTTCGAAACTTACCTAAAAATATTTTCTTGTGTATTTCGACACGTAGAGGTAATCTATTGTCCTCTTTTCTAGTATTTCATTAACTCTAATGTTAGCATTGCGCTAATTAAATTTATTTATTCATCGGTTGTTCGTCAACACCACTGATAACAAACTAAAATTTTTGACAGTGTTATCCTTACTATCAGTTTCATTCATACTTTATTAGTAGTTTTCTTTCTTCACTTTCTGTTAATCAATTTTCTGTAAAATTCTGCCCTATTTGCTTTCGTTGAAAATTCCGCTTTGTTAAACTAAGCACTCATTTTTAGTAAATCTGAATTAATTACGGCAATTTCTTTCATTTTTTATGTTCAGCACTTTCTTTAAATTCTATTCATGTAATTAGTGGAAAATCAAACCTAAAACTTTTATAAACTTGTTAGCTTAAAAAACATATATGACTGATAAGTAGGGAGCGGATTTCTGTCGGGCTAGACAAGGCCAAACTCGGTACGGCTCGTACGGGATGGGAATTCATTGCAGTTACCGGCTGCACTTCGTTTATTTGAGATTAGAATAACGCTGCTTCGTTGCACTCTGCTGTTAATTCCAGTTCTCATTTACTTAGCCGTTTGATTAATAAATCGTTAATTGTATTTATGAAATCAAATGACAATTAAATTCAGTGATTACCTATCACCCGCTACTGAGTCCCGGCGATGCAGCGTGTCTCCACCTATAATCGTGACGTAGCCCGACAGAAATCCGCTGTCTACTGATAAGATAATGCAGTAACCCGTAGATCAATCAAAGACAGAACAACATTCCGTAGTATTCCATGACATCAGAAAACTTATTGATCACTTGTTTAAGCTGCAATGTGTACATTGAATTTGATACTTTGTCCATAATAGTCTGTTTTTGAAAAACAACTTCGTTAAATTATCTTTTTCATTCGTAGAAATTCCGATCAATTTTTCGTCTAGACCGCGAATAAAGAATAATCCGCCATCTATAGAAATACTCCATAAATTTTTAGATGCTGGAGCAGTAGTACATTTTCTCCCGGAATGCAACCGCATCGACGGAAACGTTTCACTCTATACTTTCAAAAAGCGAATTATAGAATTCATATCCCGTCATAAATTTCGAACGACTATAAACAGAATACCTGTGGGTGGCACAAAGGCAAATAAAATTTTCCAGAAAAGCGTGAGGACATGCAACACATAGTCCAGTCCAGACGGCTTCTTCTGGTCTGACTCATCACTGGCGCTCACAGTTATGGCTTCGACGAACTGCTCCTTCCAGGACGACGTTCCGATTAAGAGCGAGGCATTAGCTCGTTGCACCAATTTGTCCACAGTATTCTAAAACAGTAAAAGTAAGCAGATTAGGTAAGTGGTTAGAAGTGCGAAACGACTTACCCTGAACTCTTTACTCTCTTTGATTCGAATTTGTGCCCTGACGATATCTCCGAGTCTTGGCTTCCCCATTATCGCTACTTTCTCCTGTTCGGTGCGATGTTCGGGTCGTTTCTTTTCAGCTGCAGCTGCTAAGCTTGCTACCTCGTCTATAAAATGGCCAGATTCAGCATTTTGCAAGGAATTTTCCAATTTATGCATACCAACACGTCAGGTTATCCTTGTTAGATACAAATTGATTGTGTACACACGAAAAATGGGGTATTGACGGAGCTATTCAGCCAGGGGGAGTGACAATGCGATGATGGGTTAGGGGTATTACAGGGACAGATCAAACGTTTAAGTCTAGATTTATCAAAAGTACGTACTTTGCTAAAACGCTAGTTCAAGAAATTGGAGAAAATGGTATATAGTTAATTAAAAGAAACCAACCATTCGATGTCGAGAAGAAAATAATGAAATCTGTTTGCCTTGTTTTTTAGCGATTTTATTAGAGGATTGCCAAGCCTACGCAATTCTCGGTGAGTGGAATTTTTTAAAAAACAATGATATCGAATGTTTGCTGCTTTTTAAAAGCAGGAAACATTTGTTCAAATCGTAAAGAGCTGGAGAATAGAAGAATCCTTTTAAGGTATTTTCTGATATTTATTTTTTCAAAACTGCTGTAAGCCAATCATAATTTTAAAGTAGAGCTTTAATTTTACGTAAGGATTGTTATTGTTCCTGTTGTAAAAAATTGTTCTATTTTTATATTTTCTCGATGTTTCATGACCCCTAAAGAACGAAAGACAGGTGTTTCGTTTCGGCTGTCTGTCATCTGTGGCGATTTTTTTACAGATAATCTCTGTTGGACTGATTATTGTCAAACTTTATATTTTCAGAATATAAAGACAACCAAAATTTATCTGATCATCCCACCAACACTCTGATGACGTTATCTAAAAATTTTCACGGTAAATGCTATTTACTAAATTTTTCACTCTATAAAAAAAGAACAATCTGTCTCTGTTCTTCAGTAGTCTGTATTAAATACCATCCACTCAGTGTATAAAATTTGAATCAACGATTTGTAATCACGGAACTCGGTAATAGAAGTTTGACTTATTATTTGACAAATGTGATATTTTGCCGCAAAATATAAGATGATGATGGTGAATGAAATAACAATATTTACAGTTTTTACATCGAATGAAGCTAGGATTTGGAGTTTTAATTGGGCTAAGATACTTTATTAAATTTAGATAAATATAGAGTGGTGATGAATTTTCATTTTCTGACCACTGAGTTGTCATAACGGACAATAGATATGAATAAAGGACGCTATTATTATTATTATTAAAATGCTTTTTTTTTAATTGTTTGATTCTTGATATTCAGTTAAAAAAAATTAAATGGAATTATGAATTTTTTGTCCGTTTTTCGAGTACTTTTCGAAAATTACGTGAACATATTATTATTTCTTTATAGATTTTGATTTGTAGAAGGTATCTTCGGCTTCATTTCTTCGAAAATTCCATTAATTTTTCTAGAATCGATAAAATGAAAATTGACAATTTTCGAGATATTATTTTATGCATATTTACTTTGACTTGCAATGTCACTTCATATTTAAATAAAAAATATCAAACCGAATTTGTCGAAAACCTTGGTATTCCATTACCACTTTATATTTTTCGACTAAGTTCGTGGAGATCTATCTAGAAGATTTTTAGATAACTTTTTAAGAATCTCAGTTTTTCAATGATTAATTTTTTGACTGTTTTTTAGTTCTCAATTATTTTAACAGATACTAGCCCCGCCCACAACCCTCTATTTTCTTAGAGGATATGTCATTTACCAAAATCAGTCTTACCTTAGCAAGTACTAGCTCCGCCCACCCACCCTTTGTTTTCTTAAAAAGTATGTTAATTGCGAAAGTCAGTCTTATCTTAGCAAATACTACTAGTAGTCTGATTTTGGCAAATGACATGTCCTCTAAGAAAATAATGAGTAGGAGCGGCGGGGCTAATACTTGCCAAGATAAGACCAATTTTGGCAAATGACCTGCTACTATAATTAAGATAATTTTCGAAACTATCGAAAAAATAACACTTCCAGGGACATTTTTTTGTGGATTCCGATTTGTAGAAGTTATTTTCGGTTCCATTTCTTCGAAAATTCCAACAATTTTTCCAGAATCGATAAAATGAAAAAATGACAATTTTACAGGCAAAAAAAAATCATTATTAAACCAAATTTTTCGAAAATTTTGGTCCGGTGCCCTTAAAACTTTCTGTCTTTCGTAGAAGCTCGTCCAGATTTATATCCAAAAATTTTTGAGGATTTTTAAGCATCTTTTCAAAAATCTCAAATTTTCAATTCTCTCCTCCACCTTTAAATTTTTTAGGAGTATTTTATTATATATCCCAGTTGTATCAATTTTTCAAAAATTTAATTTTTCAATACCCGTCTGAATTTTTTGACCGTTTTTTGAGTATCATTCGAAAATGTTTCAAAGATATTTTCCTGTAGAATTCGAATTGTAGAAGCAAAGTATTACCGGCTTCATTTCTTCAAAAATTCCTCCAACTCTTCCAGAATCGATAAAATCAAAAAATTACAATTTTCCAGTCAAATAAATCATTATCAAATCAAATTTTTCGAAAATTTTGGTCCGGTGCCCTTAAAACTTTCTGTCTTTCGAAGAAGCTCGTCGAGATTTATATCCAAAAATTTTTCAGGATTTTTACGCAACGTTTCAAAAATCTTAAATTGTCAATACTCTCCTCCACCTTTAAATTTTTTATTTTATTATATTTTCCAGAGTTTTTGCAAATTTTTCAAAAATCTCAATTTTTCAATACCCGTATGAATTTTTTGACTGTTTTTTGAGTATCATTCGAAAATGTTTCAAAGATATTTTGCTGTAGATTTCGAATTGTAGAAGCTATTTCCGGCTTCATTTCTTTAAAAATTCCTCCAACTTTTCCAGAATCGATAAAATGAAAAAATTGCAATTTTCCAGTCAAAAAAATCATTATCAAACCAAATTTTTCGAAAATTTTGGTCCGGTGCCCTTAAAACTTTCTGTCTTTCGAAGAAGCTCGTCGAGATTTATATCCAAAAATTTTTTCAGGATTTTTGTGCAACTTTTCAATAATCAAAAAAAAATTCACATCGAATTTTACCGACAATTACGAAAATCTTGGTTCAGGATCATCAACAAGTTTCGAAGCACTGTCGAAATGTATTTCCCAGAATTTATTTTTCAGGATTTTTAGGCAAATTTCAAAAATTTCAAATTTTCAATGACTGTTTTTGAAGCTTACGACATGTTTAAAAAGCCCATGTTCAACCGAATTATGAGAAAATCTTGGTCCGGAAAATATATAACTTACGTTTTATGAATCAGTTCGCCGAAAAATATTTCCCAGAGTTTTTTTTCAAAAGCTCAGGTTTTCAATATGAATTTTTGTGGTTGCTTTTCAACCACCCTTCGAAAATTTTCCAAAGACATTTTCTTGTAGGTTTCGATTTGTGAAAGTTATTTTCAGCTTCACTTCTTCGCAAATTCTCCCAACTTTTCCAGAATAGATAAAATGAAGAATGAAAATTTTCGAATTATTATAAAAAAAAATTAAACCGAATTTTTTCGAGTTTTTCGAAAATCTTGGTCTGGTACTATAACAAGTTAAGCTTTACGAAACACTTGTTGAAATTATTTACCAGAATTTTTTAAGAAGTTGTAGGCAATTTTTCAAAAATCTTAATTTTCAGTACTCCCTGGATGAACTTTTTGACCGTTTTTCGAGCACCCTCCGAAAATTATCAAAAGACATTTTTTCTAGATTTTGACTTTTAGAACTCCAAGTTTTAATTGGGCTGAGGGTAAATTTGAACGCCGAGTTGTCAGATAGACGAGAACGGAAGACCTATGTTTTCCTATTCTAGGGGTCATGAAACATTTGGAAAACATGAAAGTAATAGTGTAGATTACCAACGTATGTGATTTCAACAAAATGTTTTTCGTAAATTTAAAATCTTCTCTTTTTTCGTTTTTGTTTTACTTTTTAATAAAAAAAGAATATATATGATAAAAATATCTAACCGAAAAGACTGATTTCATAGCTTCAAGCATCACCAAAAATGGAAACTGTTTTTCCTGCATATACTTCCACCTTAAATCTGAAAACCCCCATTGGTTTTAGCTTAAAGCTTGATCGTTCTGATTAATAGAAACACACGAGTATATTTTTAAAATAGTAATCCGTATTTATAACGCACTTACAATGCTACTTTATTTTTAGTCAATAAGAAAATATACATCATACAGCTAATAATCAAATGAGTAATAAGATGGTGTGCAAAATGCAAAATAGTAACATATCTTTTATTAAAATATTATGTAATGGAGTGGAAAATATCTTTTATCCTTATCGTCAACAATAAACAACCACTTAATGCTTAACTGTTTCAATACTAAAATTCTAAATGATCCAACAAAAAATGCTTGGCACAATTGTTTCCATGAAAACCAGTGGTCATTAGAAAGTCTCTTTGTCAAGGTTCTATAGATCAAATTAGAGTTTCCCTTTTAGGCTCAAAACAATGGCGTCTGTGGAATTTCACTACTCAATTAATCATCGAATGCTTAACCAAATATCGCGCAGATTATCATCAAAATGTTATTTTCTTTCCCTCAAATGAACCACAATAACAACGTTATGCGTGGACAAAGAATCCTTGTTGGACTGTTAATAATGAAATGGAATATTAAGATTACGTATTGAATTTGCGAATCGATTTATCGTCCACAGTAAACACTGCCAGTGTCCAAAAAACAATAAGTTAAACAAATACCCCACAAAATTAATGGGTTGCCTTACCTTAAGTAAAATTGTAAACAAGCAAGCGAGGTGGCGGATGATTTAAGAACTTGGCACCGGAAACTTGGAAACTTACACGTATTAAGTTTGAAACGATTTGCAACAAATAAAAGGTCACTGGTCTGACCTTTCCATTTTAAAGTTAACTTGGGATGCTTGCATTGGAGCAAAATTCGCCGAAGCACAGGTTGTAAAGTTCGTTGCTATCTGAGCTAATACGTTGACCAGTGAGGGAGAAATCACATAAAGTAGTTTATCTTCGTAGATAATAATAA